CAATATTAATCTATCCGAAAAGGAAATCAAGAAAATAATCCCATTTACAATAGCATCAAAAAGAATAAAACAGGAATAAATTTAACCAAAGAGGTAAAAAAATCTGTACACTAAAAACTATAAGACATTGATGAAAAAATTGAAGAAGACACACATAAATAGAAAGATAATTTACGTTTATGAATTGGGAGAGTTAACATTGCTAAAATGTCTATACTGCCCAACGTGATATACATATTCAATGCAATCAAAATTCTAACAGCAGTTTTCACAGAAATAGAAAAAGCAATTCTAAAATTTGTATGAAACCACGAAAGACCCCAAATAGCCAAAGCAAACTTGAGAAAGAAGAAGGGAGTTGTAGGCATCACAATTCCTGATTTTAAATTATATTACAAAGGTATAGTAAGTAAAATGGTATGGTCCTGGTATAAACAGACACATAGACCGATGGAACAGAATAGCCCAGAATAAATTCAAGCATGTTTAGTCAACTAATTTTTGACCAGAGCACCAAGAATACACAATGGGGAAAGAATAGTCTCTTAATAAATGGCGCTGAGAAAACTGGATATCCACATGCAAAAGAATAAAATTGGACATTTATCTTACATCATATACAAAAATCAACTCAAAATGGATTAAAGACTTAAACATAAGACCTGAAACTGTAAAATGCCTGGAAGAAAACATAGGAATAAGCTCTCTGACACTGACTGGCCTTGGCAATGGAAACAAAAGCAAAGATAAACAAGTAAAACTACATCAAACTAAAAAGCTTCTACACAGCAAAGGAAACCATCAACAAAATAAAAAGGCAACCTCTGGATTAGGATAGTATATTTGAATGGCGATGCTCACCTTACCCCTGCACTGAGCAGAGCTTATGACACAAGAAAAATGAGCAGGGGTGAGTCTGGGGACAGGTCAGGCTGACAGGGAGGGAGGGGCGGAGGCCAGGCCTTCCCAGTTCCCTCTCCCATATCACTGCAACCGGTGAAGACAGCATGACCTTCTGACGGACTGAGGCTTTCAGAGGAAGGAGGCAGCCAGCCCTCCAAGATGGTCAGGGAAAAAGCCCAGGTAATAAAGAATCTCACTGTTATTTTAAGAATCACAGAAAATTATTTCAGGCTCTATATTCAAAAGGTTACTTTGAAAATTCAATATTAAACGTTCCCACTAAGTTTAGAAAGGTCCTCCTGGCCCTTCCAATCAGGGCATACAGTAGTCATAAATTTGTAGTTCATCAGTATTTTCTTTCTGATACTTACTAATGATTCAGTACAAAGTAGAACCTCAACATATAAATTCTTACAAGGACAAATTGCCCAATAAATATAATGCACCTAGTCTGAGATAACTATAAATGGAAATGGGCAATACTGTTATTTTTTCACATTAGTCATTAAAATACCCAGAAATTCTCTAGTACTAGCACTGTTCAATAAATGTGTTTAAAGTGCTCTAAAATTAGAAGGGAGTCTACCACACTACAATCTCTTAGTGGCAAATTGACCCAGCTTCCTTTTTGCTTGATAGAACATAGCTCTTATCTTTTTTTTTTTTTTTTGCTTCCCCTAAGTGGGAGAGAACACCTAGATGCTTGTTACCACAAAATATAATTCCCAACAGAATAAATGCAGCTTTCTTCGGGGACTCTATAATATTCTGTTTGTTTATCTGCATGAATCCATTTGTGTGCCCAATAATCTTTAATCTCCACTGAGAATAATAGTGCTTAAACCAAGAGCACTTACTCCTGGCCTTCTGAAATTTCTTTTTCTTTCTTTCTTCCTTTCCTTCTTTTTTTTTTTTTTAATTTTATGGGTTTTTAAAAAAAAAAAAAAAGATTTTATAGAGAAGAAGGGAGAGGGAGAAAGAGAGAAATTAAAAAACAACATTGATGTGAGAGAGAAACATTGATTGGTTGCCTCCCGTGCCCGGTGCCCTGACCAGTAATCAAACCTGCAACCCTTTGGTGCATGGGATGACGCTCCAACGAACTGAGCCACACTGGCCAGGGCCATTGTGGAGTTTCTTACTAGGTAAAGTGCATTTACTTTTTGTTCTTTTCACCAAAATTTACCTTGTTTTGAATTTTGTCCTTTAATTTCTAAATTGGTTATTATATTAAATGTATTTAGCCAATTGACTAATTATTATATGTAATTTAGCTACTTGATTTATTATTTAATAAATTATACTAAGCCAGTTATTTTAAGGCTATTAAAATGAAACCTCTTAGCAATGATACAGGATCAGTGAGCCAGACACCATGCTCAGCTGTTTATAAACATTATTTCTAATCCTCAGAATTTCAAAATACAACATGATTAATACTTTTATTTTGATTGTCCAAATGAGGAAACTAAAACTAAAGATGTTTAAATAACCGGCACAGGTTTATACAACTAGCAAGTGATAAAGCAAGGACGCAGAACCCTGTTTGTCTGGTTTCGAGGCCTGGGCTCTTTCCATGGAGCAGCGCTGCCTTTCCTGTGTTTCTCTGCCCCTCTCCTTCCAACCTGTAGCTCGGGAGCAACAGGCCTCAGCAAGGCTATTTGGTTGCTAGAAAAGAAACCCACTAAAGTGTACTCACCGTAAATGGGCATTTATTGGAAGAACCTAGGGAGTCCAAAGATTTAACTGCAGGGGACTGAGTATTTTTCCAAACACAGTTTTGCTGTTTCGACCTTTGTGGTTAAAGATGGAAGTGCTTAAATTCAGGCTTTACCTAACAACGCTGCCATGAATAAAGGCAGGAAAGGCAGTCCACAAATAAAGAGCTCTCAGTCATGGCTTCTTTTTACATATACATTCATCCTGAACCAGACCACACATCCACAGAGCAACAGGAAAAGAAAGTGTAGGGGCCATGGTGACAAGTCTTTGCCTCTGAAAGCTCATTCATCTGGCAGATCTGAGAATCCAGTGTTTTCATTAATTTTGAAATCATGGTTAAACAAGAGTTACCACTTAAAAAAAAGTAATCCTGGTATAATAAAATTTGCTTAGAACCAAAATTGACCCTTATACAATTTAATCTGATGATTCAAAATGTCCTCAGGGTCTTGTAATAGCAAAGGTCAGTAAGACCATTGTGAATGTTAGTTCTTGTTGTACCAGACTAGATCTAAAAGTGGTGTGAGATCCCGAGGAAGTTGCCTTTTCCTCCAGTATTTTTCTCTTCCTAATAAAGCCTGAACTGCAGATGGTTTTGGGTTCTATATTTTTAAAGTTTCTGAATACATAAATCTTTTCTATTATCCATTTCATTGATATCTTAAGCATCTATGATATGCAAATTGCAGTGCTGGGGGTTACAGGAGATTCAGAGATGAGCAAAACACGGTCTTTTTACAGAATTCATAGTAGTGTAGAAATAATAACAACTAAATTTGTGGAGCAGCTCATTTTGCTCCAGGCCTTGTTCTAAACACTGTATTAATTCATTTAATTCTCATGAGTACCCTACAACGAAGGCCGCATTTTACAGATGAGAAAATTGAAGCATTTTACAGATAAGAAAACTGCAAGTCTACTCAGCCTAAGATAGTTACCATCCATGAAAAACAAATCAAATGCTTTGGAGGCTCTGAGATTATTGGGATTGAGACAAAATTAATGGATGAGACAGCATTTGAGACAGGCTGACAATACAATTGTGATTTCAGTAGGCAGAGAACCCACCTGCAACCTGATTTTGAACAGGTTGAATTTGACATGCTGGTAACGTGGCCAGATAAGAACGTTATACTAGCTTACAAGATTAATACTTAGGAGAGGTTGAGGCAGGAGATAAAACCTGAGTGTTATTTGTGTCGATTCAACCCAAGCCTATTCGAGGGAAGAGGTTAGAGAGTATGAAGGAAGACCAAGGGTGCAGCCCAGGCAGATTGCCCCTTTAGGCAAATAGGAGGAAGACCAGGAGGGAGCCAGTGAAGGGAGTGAAGAAGAAATCGCCAGAACCAATTAGGAGGTGAGTTTCTAAAGAAGGGGTGGGGGAAGTGAGTACTAATATCAAGTTCTGCAGCAAAGGAGATGGGTGGGAAAGGGGCGGAGAGAAGGCCACTAGTAGGCGAAGAGGAGGCAATTTAGAATTCAGGGTGAAGAATGATCGCTAAAATGACCATATTTTTAAGAAGTTTGGTTATGAAGGGAAGCAAAGAGGCAAGGTGGCGAAAGGAAAGGCATGGATTTAGTAAGAGAAAAGGGCATGAGTTCTGAGGAACACGTGGAAGACACAGGTGAGGGAGGAGCTATTTGAGGAAGTTCCTTAGGGTGGGAAGCAATGGGATTCAGAGGAGCAATGACTTGTACTTTTATTTTCCAAATGAGGTCTGGAAAATCTCTTCTGTATCCATATCTAAGGAAATGGTCAGTACCCCTTCCCATGTACACACCCCCCAAAAGAGAGAGAGAAAGGGAGAAAGCAATGATGTTTAATTCAAATGGAGAGCTTAATACTCCAATGATCTCTACTGAGTCATCTTCAGATGAATCATATCTAAAACACCTTGTAAAAATGATAATTAAATGAATTAAAAATAAGAGCTTTGACAGACAGACTAAATAAGTCATGGAAGCAGTTACAAAATGGACATTTTGTGAAACCACAAAATGCCTTCCAGGTGTGTAACTACCTAGGCCCATCCCAAACCACTAGCACCTGTCTGTAAAGTTGGAGCCAATAAAAGAACCTGCCTGGCAAAGCCAATGTGAAAATTAAGCTCCTCCTGCAGTGCCTGACACACAGTTGCGTCAAAAGTGATCATTAGGATTCCAACGGCTACAAGGGCTAAAGTGGGAATGGAAGGACAAAAGGACAGCTAAAGACGGACTCATCTTTCCTGATCGCTTAATTATTGTGGATGAAGTTAGAGACCCGAGCGGGGGCGGGGATCCAGCCCACGTGGGCGCCTGCCTGGACGTCCTCGTTGCTCCTAGCAACGGGGTCCTTGCCTCCGGCCGGGTGGGCGCTGCGCAGGAGCAGCAAGATGGCGCTGCGCCCCTGGTCCCCAGAGCTGGGGTTCAGCGAGAAGGTGCTGCGGCGGGTCGCCGTCTCCACCGGCCCGTCCCTGGAGCTATGCACCTTCCCGTCCACCCTGGGCTCCTCGGTCGCGGCCGAAGCGCTGGAGCAGCTCTTTGTTGTGGGTGAGAGTCCCGCGGGCGCCCGGAGGGACATCTGAGAGGGGGCGCCTTGGCGGCGCTCAGCGGGACCCCTCAGTGGGACTCTCCTCCCGGACCAGCGTGTCCCTGGCCAGGGCAGAGCCTCCTCCGGCCCCGAGGGCTACAGAGGGCGACCGGGTGGGGTCCAGGGTCCGCTCCCGTGCCGTAGTGCCCCTGGAGTACATGGCCTAACACGCTAGTAGCTGGTGGCAAACCCTGGACTCCCGGGCCAGTGCCACGTGCCTGCGACTGGGTACCCACCTGCATTTAGAGTATACATGCAATTTTACTTTTCCCTTCATGATTTTTCTTTGCAAGTTAATTTCCTCCAACATTATGCCACGGCAAACTGGAGAATTTAACAGGCAAACAAGAGACGGAGCGTTGGAGTTCCGGTTGTATTAGGCAAGGCAATGAGAGCAGGCTGTTTAGGATATGCAAACATAAAATACCAGGTTAAAATACTTCTTCAGTTAGGAAGCTGAACCTGTCAGACTGACAAACCTCAGGAGGTGGGCGGGGCGGAGGGAGGGAAGGGAGAAACCAAAGAACTTACATGGTATATACATAACCAATGGACATAGACAGCAATGCTGGGGGAGGGGGTAGCGGGAGGAGGGGGGGGAGATACATCTGTAACAAAAATAAAGAAATTAATTTTAAAGTGAAAAAGCTGAACCTGTAATCAAGTCACCTAAGCTTAAGGTGAGACCGTCCAAGGAAGGGAATTTCTTGTTCACTCATAAACCATTTATACCAAACAACAAAGCATCTCCTAGCTTTAATCATCTCATTGTTTCTAGGTAACCTAACCATATTGATATCTATCACAATATTACTCTTAGTTTGGAATAGTTTCTTTTTTCCTTCTTAGATGAACTAATTTAACTTCATCATTCTTATGAGAAGTGTCAAGGAGTGTTTGCAGTAAAAATGTTAACTACAAATGATTCCTTTGTGTCCAAGCTCATCTACGTCAGCATATCCATTCAACCCTAGTACTTAGGCACCAGTACTTTTTCTGCTAATAGTTTTTGGACCCTCAGAAAGTTTTTCTTAGGAAAAAACTTCACTGAACCTCTGTCTTGAGTGTGAGTTATAAAGTATGTAGTTCTGCAGCCCATTCGAAAGCGGGAAGAAGCTCGTGTGTTCATTCATGCCTTAGAAAAAAGGAAAGGAAATAGCAAGCAATTCCTGCCCCTCCCTACCGCACACTTGCTTGCAAACTCAGTACTTGATTTTCACTTGGTTTGAGAGCTTAGTTCATTAAAGGAATTCAAGTTCCCTGTGAGGGCAGAAATTGCTATTTATTCTTCTGACATGTGAATAGGGCCATTAAGGGCTTGGACCCTGGAGTCACACCACTTGCATTTGAATCCAGACTCTTAAGCGATGGGTTCTGTGACCTTGAATTATGACATAATCTCAGTCTTAGATTTCTTACCTGTAAAATGGGAATGAATCATCATAAGATTCCAAGAATCAACTTAAATTTTTATACAGTTAATTAAATGTGTGGTTTGGGGCAAAATACTATATGTAAGCCCAGCTGGTGTGGCTCAGTGGATTGAGCATCATCGCATGGACTGAGAGGTCCCAGTTTGATTCCTGGTCAGGGCACATTCAGTAGGGAGCATACAGGAGGCAGCTGATTGATGCTTCTCTCTCACATTGATGTTTCTAGCTTTCTCTCCCTCTCTAAAATATCAATAAAAGCATTTTAAAAACACAAAAAAAACCTATATTTAATATATATGAAAACAGCCTGGCCAAGGTGGCTCAGTGGTTGAGCGTCGACCCATGCATCAAGAGGTCGCTGGTTTGATTCCTAGGCAGGGCACATAGCCAGGTTGTGGGCCAAATCTCCTGTGGGGGGCATGTAGTAGGTGGCCAATCGATGTTCTCTCTCATTGATGTTTCTGTCTCTCTCTCTCCCTCTCTCTCTCCCTTCCTCTCTCTCTAAAATTAATAAAGAAAAAAATCTTAAAATATATATATGAAAACATTCTTAAACAAACATACATTATAGGCTTGTTATATTTATCCCTTTCATAAATGTTTGTTGAATTTTTTGTCCTATACACATCCCTTTTTCTACCATGAGAGATGCGCAGATGGACCCTTAAGAGGGATTTATCCTCAAGGAACATAAAATATATACCTAAATTAGAATTCTATGAAATAGAAAATAAGTACAAAAGAGATTTATATAAAGTGCTTAGATATTCAAAGATTGAAGATGTAATTTGCAACTGAGTAAGCATTTCAGCTAGATCTTAAGGGTTAAATAGAATTTGGATAGATAAATAAGAAATCTTAATTTTCTGATTTCTTTTTCAGAACAATCACTGCAAGGTGACTATTTTAAATGCAACGAAGAAGCTAGGATCTTTCTTAAGGACACGGCTGTAGCTGTCAAGAAATTGGTATTGTATTATCTATAAGAACTTTTTTCCCCCGAGTCTTACACTTATTCCTTTATGAAACTTTAATTTAGCACCAACTCTATGGATAAATAGGGAAAATATTTACTCTGAATAAAAAATAAAACCTTTTCTCTTGATTCACTAAGCATTTTAACCGGTGTTGTTCAATTGTGGACTGTTGCCCAGTTTTCCATGCAGAACACTTAAGACCTGTGCTGTGGATGAGGGCAAGCCAGCTAAGGAGAAGCGATCCTGGCAATATTAGAGCTCAGTTAGGGGGTGAGCCAAATGGGCAAATGCTTGGGGCACCATTATGTAAGCACTGTTTCAAACAATCTCTGAAATAAATTGCATGTGTGGTGCCAATGAACTCTGTTCTCTATAAGTAATTCCTTATATAACTGATGAAGGATTTTTTTTTTGGGGGGGGGCATTTATTTCACTGAAGTAGACCATGCTGTTGAGTGAAAACAAACAAACAGAAATTCTTTTGGTTATACTAACTCAGCCCCACAAAGAAATATTTAAAGAATTTCCTTTTGAAGTGTCAGAAACATTTCTGTTTGGTCCTGGATGATGTTTACAGTGCTTTCCCAGCAGGGTTAGAATGGTCAAGTCTCTTCATTTGATTTAAAAATATTAAATAGGAATCTACTACAGTATATATCAAATATCTAAAAATAGAGAAATGTGGCTGTAAAGTAAATGAGTTTGGGTCTACAGACTGCTGATAAAAGTAATCTCATTACAATGATGTTTTATGCAATTATATAGTTATAGATGTATACTACAGAGTTATACTTTATAATTAGACTTAATTGAATACATATAGAGTACATACATGTGGAATACATACTCAGAGTTTGTGTATGTTGCTCTGCACTGTGGTCTTGTGAAACCTTTTACTCTGCTTGGGTTTTAGTTATGTTTTTCTCTAGGAATTGAAGGGATCAAAATATTTATTTGTGGCTTATTAAAGTGTATAGTATGTCTCCATTAAATAGGTGACCTCTAAAATCTCTTAAATAGAGATAAATCCCTCCATGTTTAAAGAAATTTTCACTATTATAAAAGCACTACATATTTACTCTAGGAAACTTAGAAAAAAATAGACAAGCAAAAGGAAAAAAGGAAAAACCACAATGATCCCACCACCCTAAAATAATCACAATTAACTTCTTGATGAATGTTCTTCCTGTTTTCAGGGTATGGATGATGCCTGTATTGATTTTATTTTTTTATAGAAAAGTGATCATGCTATATGTACAATTATATAATTCATTATTCATAAAATAGAGTGGTAATTTCTCAGGTCATAAAGTAACTATAGCCATTAAGACCATTTATTTAAAAGATGACTTATCTGTTTTTCCACTAACAGATTTTTAAATTTTTTCCAAATAACCCCACCCCCCAAAATTATAAATTCACCGTAATTTAACAACAGGCCCACTTGACTTTTTGTTTGGGTTTGTAGGTATGTATAAGAGAACCATTGTTCTCTTCATACCTAAGCATATTTTTATAGACATTTTCTGTTTTTAATTAAGTAGCTTTCATTCTCAATATTACCCTTTTTGTTGAAGTCTTTACCTTTAAATTGATTGAAACTGCAAACAAGAAACACATGCACACAGGGAAAGATGATTTCTGAGTAGAAGAAAATTAGCAAAAATTAAAAGATAAACTAACGATTACATCTTTTTTTTTTTTTTTAATCACCTGAGGACATTTTTTCTATTTTTTTGTTCAGATAGAGTGGGAGAGAGAGAGAGAGAAACATCGATGTGAAAGGAACACATAGCGTGGCTGCCACCCGCACGACCCAACCAAGGCTGGGGACAAACTACAACCAAGGTACGTGCCCTTAGCAGGAACCGAACCCAGGTCTCTCTGGACCTCAGGCTGATGCTCTAACCGCTGAGCCAAACCGGCCAGGGCTAACAATGACATCTTAAAACTGATTGTACTTTTCCTACTTTCTACTCCAAATAAAAATAGCAGCAGAAGGTGTTAAATGAAAATCACATTTTGACCTTTGAAAACATTTATAGGGCATTATTTAGGAGATACATTTTATTATTTTAATATGTAATTTAAATTTTCAGGAAGAAATGAGAAAAACTACAATTAATCTTCTGGAAATTGAAAGCATGGAACTCAGCAGACTATATTTCCTATTGGAAACTCTTCCCGATAACATTAGCACAGAATTGGAAGGTATTTTGAGGTTAATAACTGTAGAAATTTAGTTTATTGTATAAGAAAATAGAACAAAGTTCTTGTAAAAAGATGACTTTATTATTATTTTATTTTTTTTGCATTTATCTTCAGATAGAGCGAGAGGGAGAGAGGGAGGAAGAGAGAGAGAGGGAGACATCAATGCGAGAGAGACACCTGGAGTGGTTGCCACCCTCACGACCCCAATTGGGGCTGGGGACAAACTGCAACTGAGGTACATGCCCTTTGCAGGAACTGAACCCAGGACTCTCTGGTCTGCAGGTCAACGCTCCAACCGCTGAGCCAAACTGGCCAGGGCGATTAATTTATGATTAAATAAAATTAGTTTATTTTATGTCAAAATATAGCTAGAAAATAGTACATTACACATAGTGAAATCCATAATAATTTTCCTGACATTTTAAGTGGAAGTAATCTATCTATAACTTAACTTTATATAATGTAGTATCCAATTAGACTAAAGATATATAGATCAGCCCATTCCAAACTGATATTAACCAACCAAATTAGGCAGCTTGACTGGCCTAAATCACCATTCTACTTTCTATCTCTGAGTTTGGCTACTATAGGTACCTCATACAAGTGGAATCAAATATTTATCCTTTTGTGACTGGCATATTTCATTTGGCATCATGTCATCAAGGTTCATCCATGTGTCAGAATTCCCTTCCTTTTTCAAGACTTAATAATATTCCTGAGGAAATAAGGGAATTTTTATATATACCATATATGTATTTACCATGTTTTATTTATCCATTTATTCACCAGTGGACCCTTGGATATTTCCTTTTGGCTATTGTGAATAATGCTATTATAAACATGGGTGTACAAATATCTACTGAGTTGCTCCTTAAAATTCTTTGGATATGCATGCAGAATGAAAGTACTGCCTGGTATGGTAATATGGTAATTTTATGTTTAATTTTTTTAGAAACTGCCATTCTGTTTTCCACAATGATTGTGCCTTTTTACATTCCCGCCCACAATGCACAAGGGTTCCAGTTTCTCCGTGCTAATGCCAACATTTGTGGTTTTGATTTGCATTTCCTTTATGATTAGTGATGTTGAGCATCTTTTCATGTGCTTATTGACTATTGGTATATATTCTTTGGAGAAGTCTCTGTTCAGGTCCTTTGTCCACCTTTTATTCAGGTTGTTTGTTTTGTTATTGGGTTGTAGGAATTCTTTATATATTCTGGATGTTAACCCCTTATCAGATATATAATTTGAAAATATTTTGTCCTGTTCCATAGGTTGCCTTATCACTCTTGATAGTGACTTTTGATGCACAAAATGTTAAATTTTGATGTAGTCCAGTTTATTTTTTTATTTGTTGCCTGTGCTTTGGATTCATATTCAAGAAATCATAGCCAAATCCAATATCATGAAGCTTTCCCCCTATGTTTTCATATAAGAGTTGTATAGTTTTAGCTCTTACTATCCATTTTGAGTTAAATATCGTATTTGGTGTAGAGTAATATTCCAACTTCATTTTCCCATCTGTCGGCAGTGTTGGCTGAGGTTCACAGCTCGGTTTCCCCACAGGAACTGTCCTTGACAAAAAAGAAAGGCTGCACTCGGCGTCCCATTCCTCCCTCGGTGCTGCTGATTGGTCCTCAGGGTAAAAGGCCTGCCCCCCTTGACTCTATGAGATAACTCCAAAGTGTCATCCCTCTATTCCCACTTTGCTGAGTGTTGTTATAAAAAATTGGTGCTGGATTTTGTCAAATGCTTTTTCAGCATCTGTTGATATGATCATATGATTTTTATCTTTCATTTTGTTTATGTGGTGTATTGCATTTATTTATTTGCGAATATTGTATCAGCCTTGCATCTCTGGGATAAATCCCAGTTGGTCATGATGAATAATTGTTTTAAATATATTGCTGGATCTGATTTGCAAATATTTTGTTGAGGATTTTGGCATCTATGTTTACCAGGGATATTGGCCTGTAGTTTTCTTTCTTTGTAGTGTCTTTATATGGTTTTGGAATTAGGATTATGCTGACCTCATAATGAGCTTGGAAGTCATCCTTCCTCTTGAATTTTTTGGAATAGTTTGAGGAGAATAGGTGTTATTTCTTCTTTGAATATTTGGTAAAATTCCCCAGTGAAGCCTTCCAGACCCCAGCTTTTGTTTTCTGGGAGTTTATTGAGTACAGCTTCAATTTTCTTAGTTGTTATTGGTCTGTTCAAGTTTTCTGACTCTTTATGATTCAGTTTTGGGAGATCGTGTGATTCTAGAAATTTGTCCACTTTGCCTAGGTTGTCCAATTTGTTGGTGTATAGTTGTTCATAGTATTTTCTAACAATCCTTTGTATTTCTGTGGTGTCAGTTGTTACTTATCCTCTTTTGTTTCTGATTTCTTTATTTGGGTCCTCTCTCTTTGTTTCTTGATGAATCTGGCTAAAGATTCATCAATCTTGTTTATCTTTTCAAAGAATCAGCTATTGGTTTCATTGATCTTTTGAATTGTTTTTTTAGTCTTTATGTCATTTATTTCTTCTTTGATTTTTATTATTTATTTTCTTATACTTACTCTGTTTTTTTGTTTGCTTGTTTGTTTATTTTCTAGTTCTTTAAGTTGTAGGGTTAGATGGTCTATTAAGTTTTTTTCTTATTTCTTGAGGTAGGCCTGTAATGCTATGAACTTCCCTCTCAGGACTGCTTTCACTGCATCACATAGGTTTTGTGTTGTTGTATGTTCATTTTCATTGATGTCCAGGAATATTTTATTTCTTCTGTGATCTTCCTGGTAACCCATTCATTATTTAATAACATGCTATTTAGCCTCCATGTGTTTAAATGTTTTTTTGTGTTTTCATTGTAATTAATTTCTAGTTTCATACCATTGTGATCTGAGAAGATGCTTGATATGATTTCAGTCTTCTTGAATTTGTAGAGACTTAGTTTGTGTCCTATATTGGTCTGTCTTTCAGAATGTCCTGTGTGCACTCAAGGAGAATGTATATTCTGCAGTTTTGGGGTGTAATTCTCTGCAAATATCTATTAAATCATCTGATCTAGTACATCATTTAGGGTCTTTGTTTCCTTGTTAATTTTTTGTCTAGAGGATCTATCCAGTGATGTCAGTGGGGTGTTGAAGTCCCCTACTATGTGATTGTACTGCTGTCAATGTCTCCTTTGAAGTCATCCAGAAGTTTTTAAAATATATTTTGGTGCTACTATATTGGGTCCATATATGTTTACCAAGGTTATATCTTCTTGTTGGATTGACCCTTTTAATATTATGTAGTGGCCTTCTTTGTCTCTAGTTATGGCCTTCAATTTGAAGTCTGTTTCATCAGATATGACTATCACTACTCCATCTTTTTTTCCCATTTCCATTTGCTTGAAAAACTTTTTTCCATACCTTCACTTTCAACTTCTGTGAGTCGTTTTTTCTATGGTGGGTCTCTTGTGGACAACACATATATGGGCCATGATTTCTTATTCATTCAGCTACTTTGTGTCTTTTTATGGAACATTTAATCCATTTACATTTAAAGTTATTGATATGTACTTATTGCCATTTTTTTTTATTAAGCCTATATTTCTCTCTCTGTTTCTTCTCCTTATTACAACATTCCCTTTAATATTTCTTGCAATGCTGGTTTGTTGGTCATATATTCCCTCAACCTTTTTTTGTCTGGGAAGCTCTTTATTTCACCTTCTATTTTGAATGATACACTTGCTGAATAGAGTAGTCTTGGATTCAGATCCTTGTTTTTCATTACCTTGACTACTTAATGCCATTCCCTTCTGGCCTATAGTGTTTCTGTTGAAAAATCAGCTGACAGCCTTATGGGAGCTCCTTTGTAGGTAACCTGTTGCTTTTCTCTTGCTGCCTTTAAGATTCTCTTTTGTCTTTAATTTTTGGCATTTTAATTATGATATGATATGGGCCTATTTGTGTTCTTTTTGCTTGGAACTCTGTGCTTCCTGAACTTCTTGTATGCCTTTTTCCTTCACTGAGTTAGGAAATTTTTCTGCCACTGTTTCTTCAAACAGATTATCTAACCCTTGCTCACTTCTTCTTCTGGTATGATGCAGATGTTGTTACATTTAATGTTGTCCCATAGCTCTCTTAAACTGTCCTCTTGTTTTTTAATTTTGTCTTTCTTTTTTTTGGGGGGGGGATGTCTCTGATTGAGTAATTTTTTTTTCCTACCCTATCTTCTAATTTGCTGATCTGATCTTCAGCTTCCTCTAATCTGCTGGTTATTTCCTCCAGTGTATCTTTATTTCTGGTATGTCATTTTCATTTCCAATGGATTGTTTTTTATTGTGTTTATATTTTTTCTGATGCTGTTGAGCATCCTTATAATCATAACTCTGAACTCTGTATCTGATAACTTGCTTATCTGTGTCTCATTTAGTCCTTCTTCTGGAGAATTCTCTTGTACTTTCATTTGGGATTTGTTTCTTTGTTTCACCATTTTGGCTGTCTCAGCAGGGTTTGGAGCCTGCCAAATTCTCCCTGTGGGTATCCATGTTCTGCAGATTGTGGCTCCCTCTGCTGGGTTTGGATGTGTATAGATGGGACCAAGCTGAAGATCAATGTCTGGTCTTACTCTCCAGGGTAGAGTTTCAGACCAGGCAAAAACTCGAGTATACCAGAGATCTGCCTCTGCCTGCATGCTGACTGTTAGTCTCAGTCACTTAATGAGCCTCAGGTTATAGATCTCAGCTGTATGAAAACTCCCCCACTTGGGTAGTATAAGAGGATTTCCAGGGGGTGAGGCAATTGCTCCCTCCCTTCCCCCACCCCCGGCTAAAGCTACTTTGAGAGGAAAACTCAGCCTGAAGAAAATGGTTTCTGCAGTGTGGGTTAATGACTCAGCACAAGGGCTCTGGCAGCCTCCTTCACAACTCAGACCGCAGAGCCTCAAAACCCAATGAATGTGAGCCAGGCCCAAGGCTCAAAGCACCCAGAGACCTGAAGGCCAGATGGTAGTGTCTGACAGTTAATGTTCCTCAGGTTGCAATTCTGTGCTAGGTGCTAACTCCTCCCAGCCAGGCAGGGAGGAGTTAAATTCCAATGGGTGGGGCAGTTACTCACTTACCTCCCTATCCCCCGGGTTATAAATGCGTTGAAAGGGAAACTCTGCCTGAGAAAAATGGTTTCTGTATCAGAGTTTAATGGCTCAGCCCAGGGGCCCAGGCAGCCACCTTCACACCTAGGTCCCCAGAGTCACAAAACCCAACAACTGAGAGCCAGGCCCAAGGCTCAAAGCATTCAGAGACTCATCTCTGCCTACTGGCTGGCTGGTAGTCTCTAGCCAATAATTCTTTATATTAAAATTTCCTTATTAATTTACCATAAGATTTCTATGACCTAATTAGACCCCAAGTAATAAGGTCCGCTTTAAAACAACATGCATGGTGTTGGTCCAGCTTGGCAGGGAAAATACAACAAATTATACATGCAGAGGAAAATAACAAGAAATCTGTGCCAAAGGCAGTATTAAGAGTGTTTTTGTTCTATTTTCTTTGGTTGCTTTTTATTGTCTAGGTTGGGTTACTTTTATAATCAGGAAAAATATATTTTAGAAGAAAAACATTACCATATGAGTTTATAGGATTCTTGATACATGCTGAATACTTAACCAAGTAAATTTAATTGGCCTTAGGAATAAAGTTTTGCTACTGAGAATATGGTTCTTGGATCAGTGGTGTCACCATCCCCTTAGAGCTTGTTATAAAATGCAGACTCTCTGGGCACATCCCAAACCTGCTATATTACAATCTATTTCAACAAGATCCCCAGGTGTTGCACATGCATATTTGAGACACATAGTTTGAGAAGCCCTGCTTCAATGAACAATTGAACTAGTAGCCTAGAAAAAATAACCCAGCTCTCTCAGGGAAGTTTCATTTCTAGGAAATTTGACATGTAGAAATGGGTCATCCAGGACTTTTCTCAACGGCAGTGTTCAGAAATTCATGCATTGTTACCATCTATCTATCATGCACTGAGGTCATCTGTTGAAGTCTCATGTGATTATAGGGATTTGTTATTTATTGATGAATAATTAGTTTTTTGTTTTTTAACACAATGGTTTCCCTAGAGGGAATGGAGGGAGGGAATGGCTTTTGTACTGTTATTTTATTAGGGAGTACAATTCAAGTAGGAGGAGTGTGGGATAAGGAGAGCAAAGTGGGGAGAAGGGAGAGCTAACGTGGGGTGCAATATGATGTTGACTGCTGTCAAATGCAACTAATGAAATATGAGAACACACCCCTAAGACACAGTTACCTCTTCTCAGGACCATACAGGTACTGGCTCCTGATGATCACTGGTTCAATGTTTGCCCCACTTCCTGTACTTTGGGTTCAACGTGCATGGGTGTGGGTGTCTAAAGAAGTCACATGATAGAGGCAACAGGGAAGTCCTGGGCAGAAGGTGAGAAATGGATAGAAAAAGCAGGAATCAGGTGCTATCAGACTGCACCAATTTGAAATTGCTTAGGGTCCATGAAAGCTGGTCACCATAGCAGCAGCTGAAATAAGGGAAATAATTGATAGTTAAGATTGAGAGGGTCCAGAGGGGTGAGGAAGAGGTATCTGATACAAGAACATAATTAAAAGAATATTTCACACCCTGGCCAGTTTGGCTCAGCAGTTAGAGTGTTGGCCTGTGGACTGAAGGGCCACAGGTTCCATTCCCGGTCAAGGGCATGTACCTGGGTTGCAGGTTCAGTCCCCAGCCCCAGTCAGGGTTGTGTGGGAGGCAACCAATCAATGTGTCTCTCTCACATCAATGTTTCTCTCTCTGTCTCTCCCTCCCTCCCTTACACTCTATCAGTGGAAAAATATCCTCGGGTGAGGATTAACAACAACAACAAAAATATTGAAAGACAGTTTGTTCCTGATTTGAAACTACATGTATCTACAACTGTGCTGTTTCTCAAATAACAGTAATGTTTCCACTTTCTTTTAAGAATGTGTCAGAGATGCTCGCAGATTAAACCTTTATGAGGTAAATCAATTACAAATGAAAAATAAAAGGATAACAAATGAAATAGAGTTTCTGCAGAAGACAATACTTGATATGAAAGAAATTAATAACACTCTGGGGTAGGTACTTTTTCATTCAGTACCTGAGGTAGTTGGGTCTGGGGCTAGAGTGGGGAGATTGTCCAAGGGCTTTGTCCTCTAACCTGAACGGAGCAGGGAAAGATAAGTGGTAGAAATCACTTGTAGAAAATGACTGAGCTCTAGGGGCGTGTGATGGCTTCAGAGATCTGGGAAAAAGAGCAGAAAATCTTCAGCCACTGCAGCCAGGAGACCTGTAAAATCTCAGAGGCAATCCAGCTCCCCAGCAGCAGCGCTGGATGGAAACCCCAGCTGCCTTGTGCACTACCTCCACAGGGAGAGCACACAGTGGTGTTAGCGTCCATTCTAGCAAAACTACGTTTACAAACCTCACCCACCAAAGGAAGAAATCATGTGTGTAAATACAGTATCAAACCAGATATATTATAACCAGTGTAGTTCTTTAAAGAAGTTCAGGCATGGAGGGCCGATGATAGATTTGTTCCCAAGAGAGGATGTGACACCTGTTAGTTTCTTTCCTTTATTCCTAGATGTGTTGCCAGCACTTCAACCCTAGGGGCCTCACTTTCTCCATCTGTTAAATGGGGATTACAAGTCTTAATTTACCTATCTCCTGGAGGAAGAGATATATTCTGAAAGAAAAAGAAAAAAAAACACAAAACTCTGAAGAACAGTTTAGTTATGAGCAAATTTCTAAGGCTAATGTGTAAATATCCAAATGTCAGTTTGTCAAAGTGAGAAATGTTCAAAGAGCCCTCATCACAGGGAAAGAACTCTTCTTGGGGAGCTAAAACAATCAGAGGCTTGCTTGGTGCACAAGATTTCAAAGCATGAGGAATAAGGTGGAGACCTCAAGACCCAGGGATGCCTTTCCTGGAGCAGGCTCTCAGAACACCTGTTCCGGGAGCTGCTCCGTGAAACAATTCACCATCACATAAGTTTGGTGAAGCTGTTGAGGATTCACAGTGCAGGTTTGTACCTCACGTGCTGGCCACAATGGCTGGAGACTGCTACGTAGACTAGGCTGTCCAAGCTGGAATGCTCATGGCAGCTGGCCAGCACCATCACATCCCTGCGAACCAGTGATTCTCAAACTTCACTGTGCATCAGAATCGCCTGGAGTGCTTGTGAAACACAGATTACTGGGGACACCCACCCCCGAATTTCTGATTTGGTCAGCCTTGGAGGTAAGGGGAAGAACTTGAATTTCTAACAAGTTTTCCCAGGTGCTACTGCTGCTGCTGCTGCTGCTGCTTGTAGGCCCTGACTACATTTTGAGAATCACTGCTCTAGAGAAATCTTTATGGAAAGGAAAATTATAGACATAAGGTGGGTTGCTTGATGAGCTAGCATCATCAAATTACACCCATTGTTTGTTGCACCCATTTTTCAAAGAAAGGTACGTGTCAGGGTACCCGCACGCTCTGACAGGTGGTCTTTTCCTGGACAGTCCCCACAAACTGAACACCTGCAAGCTGTTTGGTGTATTTTCTTTAGGCTCCACGTCACGTTTCCGAGTGTCTCAGCCCATCCCGATGCGCATAGTTGGGGTTTTTTTGTTTGACTTGCTTTGCTTCACTTTGCCTCCCTGAAGCTACTGGATCCTCAGGTCGATTCATTCTTAGAAGGCTTCCTCTGCTAGACCACAAAGCACCCACGATCTGACTCCCTCTTGCCTCTGCTTCTGTTTCTTGCATTTCTGTGGTAGAGCTGACCTCTGGAAATTGAACTTACCAACAACCTGTTTTCATTTTCCTGAACCTTTGCATATAACCACCTGAACTAAAGTCTTAAGCCCTGGGAACTGGAAAAAGGTTTTCACATTGCAGGAGTTTTTTAAAAAGGAAAATATAGAAACGTTACCAGAGAGGGGACCTGGCCCTGAGTAGGTCTGCTTAGGGCTGTCCAGTAGTGTGTGGATTCTTGACTTTGTGTAGGAAAGATTTCACAATATGAGTCCATGAGAATGAGGGTATGTTTATTAAAGCTGGGGACAGTGAGACAAAGCAGGGCTTACATAGAAGCAGCAGCAGGAGAGCCCAGACTGGGCTCTTTGTCTCACTGGGAAGTCAGAGAAAAGGGGGCCTTGGAGACAGGTAGGGGTGAGCCCAGGAGCAAGCTGCCGCTGCCCAGTGCTCCCTTGATTGCAAGTCTCATGGGGGCCCGTAGAGTTTAGGAGATGTGTGCCTGTGAGGGAAGAAGAGGGGGGAGGGGAAGGTGATGGTGTGCTCCCCAGAGGGAGAGGCACATGTGCTGGGTCCTCATCTTGAAGGTATTATCTGTCTCTTGCAGGCAGGAATCTTAATGGAGGCCTCAGGGGAGGGTTTTAGCAGAATATTCATCAGTTTTCTAGGTGTGGTCTTTCAGGATCAGGGCAGGGTCCTTAGTCACTACAGCTGGTCACCTACCTGGTTTTGCTGCTTTTTGGGGGGGGGGGGGGGCTGAAATACATCCGAGTCCTAGATGTTATCCTTAGGGAGGTGACCTTCTGTATCTGCCTGTAAATTCCTTGGCCAGTTTGTTCAGCTATCTGTCCCAGTTTCCCTACTCCACTTGTCCTGAATTACTGGCCTAACTCCTGTCCATCAGAGGAAGGCTAGCTTTCTCCTGGGCTCTCCCTGCAGGGCCATGCAGCAGAAGGTGGGGGTGGGGTAGGGATGTCTAGCTTTCTTTGACTTAACCACATAGCTCAGAATGATAAGACAGATATGGAAATGCTGTATAGCAAACCATTTGTCTGGCCAGATTTCATTGACCTGTCTCAGCTGTTTTTGAATCATTGCATGTACTTTAAACCATAATATCCCATAGCTACTACCTGCTCTGTGGGGATGAGTGAGGTGAGGCTGGGCCACTGACACTTTTGCTGTGGTAAACAGTTACAAGGTGACACTTGTCTTGTGTTTCCATCTGTCCTCATCTCAGCCAAGTTTAGGCAATCACAACTACAATTCTAAAATCAGTATCCCTTATAATTTCCCTCTTGATGGCGGTTGATCTCACCAAATAGACTTTAAGTTCCTTTCCTAAAAGCCAAATTTTTCATGCCGTGAGTAATTTTTTTTCTCCTAGTAAAAAGCAAGAGGAACTGTCGAAGCAGTATGAAAAGATAGTCCTGTCACTCAACCAAATGATGGAAAAAAAAGCCACTACCACTATCGACATCAATGAGATTTATACCAAAGTAAACTCAGAGAGAGAGGAAATAAAACTGCAAAAAAAATGCGTTCAAGATATAGAGAGGCAAATAGAAAAGGAAAGATCAGAATATTTAAAAAAAAAAACAGAGTTGCATGAAAAGGTAAGTGGCATCATTTTTATTTTTTTGGTACAGAATTATACAGAATCTCAAGCATGAAATGGGAAATAATGTATTTGTCCTCAAGGCTAGTCCGTGTTCCTGTGGTACCTTCTGTGGACATTGGGGTGGAAACAGACTAGAGACTCGAGGACACTGTAGCCCCTCGGAGAAGACATTTAAATGTATAACATCATCTCAGTTCATGAGAATGAATATGAGGGTTTGTATCACTGGGGTGGCCCCTGGCTCATAAGCAGCCCCATGGCGACAAGTATTTTGCCTCCATGCCATCTGGTCGCCTTTGGCAGTTCTGAGGCTGTGTCTCTGGCAGGACCAGGGCGGTCGGCCCAGCCTGCTCCCCCTGAATGCAGCTGAGAGGAGCAGCCTGCACAGGGGCTGAGCAGAGCCAGAGGCCCTGAGAGAAAAGAGTGTTTTGAAACCAGAGTTCTGTGAGGGGGCCGGAGGCATAAGGAAGCTTCTTGCTGTCTGCTAGGCCATGTTAATTAACATTCACCGTTAGAATGGCTTGCTGCTGGGGGTTCTTTGTTCTGCTCTGGATTGCCCCAGGAGAGGCAGGACCGTTTCCATATTAGGGGGTCCCAGCCTCAGTCTTCTTTCTCCCCCTGTAGAGGGGGCCTTGCTCGTGATGAGAATTCCGGGTGAACTCCTGCTGCTGCTCTCTCCGTGACTGGAGTCGCCACAACCTCAGGTCATAGATGCAGGAAGCTATCTCAAGCTCACAACACTTAATTTTAAAAAATAGAAAGAATATGTTGTTTATTAAATTGCTTTTCTTGAGTCTTCATTAAAAGTCTAGAGGAATATAATCTGGCATTGACAAGCACTTGGTTCTTAATGGTGATTGATTTCACGATAAGACTTGAGAGTTTCAAGAAGTCCAACCAGGTCTAAGCTTCTTTATCCTTCAAAGCACCTACTTCTTCTGAAATAGTTTTACACTAAAACCATGGATTATTCTTCTTGAATATTGATAGATCAGCCTACGTCATCCTTGGATCAGGCTCTTTGTGAAGGAGCTGGCAAGGGGTCCCTTGGGCCATCTGCAGCCACTAAACCAGATTTGTAAAAGCCCAGCTCCCAGGACCTTATGGGGCTGAAGCTGGCTGTTAGCCTGGACTGCAGAGCTGGAATCAGCTGAAATCTATGCTTCAGAAATAGTGAGGGGCTCCCGTCACTGGGCAAGACCTTACTTGGATTTATTGTTATCACAAGAAAATGGAAATTTCAGGACAACAAAGACCAAAAGGCATTTTACTGTTTTCATATCGACAACGATGCTGAGCAGCACTTGGATCGCCCCGCTGCTCCCATCCCTCTTCTGAAAGCACTATTCCATTCTCTGGGAGCAATCCAGAGCCCCCAAGCTGGAGCAGCTCACTTAAGTGACCAGCCAAAAGTGGGGTGTCTCAGGGTGGTCACAGCTGAGTGGGGAGTCCCCTGAGACTTAAACGGCCCAGCCACGATGGCTTCGGCCGTGCAGATGCACAGGTCCACGTGGAAGGGCAGGCGTTCTGCGCTGCCGAATCGCAGCCCTGCCAACAGAGCCTGCCGTGCCTCGCACACGGTAGGCACTTTACAGTATTACTTCATTGAATGAACAAGATTCTAACTTAATTTTAAGCCCTACGGGGAAGTCCCCCTCCTCCTTATTCTTGAATGTAAATGTTGAAATGTAAGAAAGGAAGCTCAGAGGAGCTTAAAACAGGAAATTTGCCAACATGACAGATTCTTCCTTATGTGAATGGTCTGTCTCAGGGACTACAAACATTTTCTGTGTGGGGTCAGATAATAAATATTTAGGGCTTTGTGTGCCATATAGTTTCTGTCACATCTACTGAACACTGCGACTTTACCACAAAAGTAGCCATAAACAATACCTAAATGAATGACAGCAGCTTCACGAATGCAGGTGGCTGAATGTGGCCCAGGGGCAGCAGTGTGTCTGCCCAAGGGGATCTCCCTGGGAAACGCACCAGTTAGGGTGCCTGCAGGTGCGAATGGCAGAAGCCCTGGCTCAGACTGGCATTGTCAGTAAGGGCGTTCATTATCTCACACAGTAGGAATTCCCAGCGCAGAGCAGTGTCCGGGACTAGTTAATTCAGTGGCTCTTCTGACGTATCCTCCATCCTTCATCTTTTTCATCCTCACCGGAGGACATTTTTCCATTCTTTGTTCACATAGAGCGGGAGGGAGAGAGAGGAAGAAAGAGAGAAACATTGACATGACACATCAAGTGGTCACCACCCGCATGACCCAACCAGGGCCAGGGACAAACTGCAACCGAGGTACATGCCCTTAGTGGGAACTGAACCCGGGTCTCTCTGGACCTCAGGCCGACGCTCTAACCGCTGAGCCAAACTGGCCAGGGTTCATCCTTCATCTTATGGCTGGTTTTCCTCATAGTCACAAGACGACTGCCACTGAGGACTGGACTCTATGCTTCCTCATTCAAGTAGGAGTAGGAAAACTTTTCCTAACCGAGGACCATTAAGTCTTCTTGCAGTATCTGATTTAGCCAAGTTAAGATACCACCTACCCCTGGCAAAGTAATGGCTCCTAAAGGAATGCTATGTGCCAGTGGGTTAGGCCAACTGAAGTGGACATGAAGGAGCTAACCACTCCTGTTCACTAATAGGCTGTGGTAGCTGCCTGTTAATTCCCTTTACTTCCTATGAAAAAGAAGGAAAAACCATTATAGATATCAGAGAGTCTTCAAACCCGTAAGATCTCCTTTAACGAAAAACAAAATGCTCTTTGCTAATATTATGTCTGTAGTTGCAAAACCATAGGAGAAGTCTTAGACCAAAGCATAAACACAGAATTCCAATTTTCAGCAAAATTTATTAATCACAAAATTTCCTTCAACTGTGCCCTGGTGTAGAGATAATTGATAATGAACACATTCATTCAGAGCAGCCACTTTGGGTGAGTGGGCTGGTGGCTTTGATGGACAGCTACCCACACATGTTTTTATAACTATTTTTTTTTTATTTAAATTTTTTTTTCTTCATTGATTTTTTAGAGAGAGGAAGGGACAGGGAGAGAGCGATAGAAACATCGATGAGAGAGGACATCGATTGGTCGCCTCCTGTGTGCCCCCTGGGGATTTGGCCCACAACCTGGGCATGTGCCCTGACCAGGAATTGAACCGGCGACCTCTTGGTGCATGGGTCATGTTTTCATAACTCTTTAATACAGAGCTGCCTATGTTTTCTCAGGCCTACTACTCTGTCAGTGGCCTTTTCTTGATCATTCATTTTGCCAGACAAATCCATTGATGTGTTTGCTTTTAATAAGAGGGTGACTTACTTCATATTCTGACAAGTGATCAGAATATGTTTGTAAAGTAGTAATAAGTTGTCCAGGATTGTAAGCTGCCCTATCTTTAATGATTTTGTTTAATCTCTTTAGTTTATTTTGTTTCCTATTAAACAATACAAAATGAGATTTCCTTCCTTCCTTCCTTCGACTCTCTTGATCTACACAGCACGCTGTAAATCTGGTAACTATTCTATGGTGTTTTACTAATAAATTGCTACCATGACTATTGCTTTTATAATTTGCTATTAGTGATCATTGTTTTATTGCTCTGATAAATTTACTGTTTCAACATTTTATAATTACACTTTGGTCCTTGTGGTTCATTATTTTTTCTATGATGCTATAAAACAGGCAAACCCTGGTTTGGCTATTTATTTTTCATTGATCTTAGAGGAAGGGGGGGGGGTGGAGAGAGAGAGAGAGAGAGAGAGAGAGAGAAAGAAACATTGTTGCGAGAGAGAAATATTGATCATTTGCCTCCGGCATGTGCCCAAACCGGGGATAGAACCGGCAGCCTAATATGTGCCGACCTGGAATCGAACCCATCACTTTTTGGTGTACAGGACAACACTCCAGCCACTGAGCCACACATGCCAACGCTGGTTATTTTTTATTGTTGATATACTTAGATTGAATATGGTATACTTAGATGAAATATGAATTAGATTGACAAAATAAAAAAAGGTTTTTCTTAACTTTGTTGTCCTCAAATTTTTTCACTGGTTTATGTTTATCACTACAGATTCATGAATATGAAAAACTCTGTGAATCTAAGAAACAGCATGCTTATCACAAGAAGAAAGAATTGGATAAATTAAGGATCGCCGACACAAAACTGAAAGAAAGAGTCACCACCACCACAGTGGTAAGAAAGAAGAAACGTTTCCAAGCCTGAGCCAGGCACCTCAATATACACTACCTTGATATAACCAGTAACAGGTGGTTTGTTTGTTTGTTTGTTTGTTTGTTTGTTTTTTAAAAAAAGGAATTGATTTTAACTTATGTTCATGTCATTCTGGGACAATATTTTTGTCATGTTAACATTTTCTGATACTTGGAAGTGTTACAGTGCAGTTGTGTTTTCTGCAGGGATATGGTGGGAAGAAGGAAGTCTGGCATGACTTAGGTATCAATTGCATTTGAGGGGCCAAAATACTATAAAACTGATTTTTAAAAAATGTGTACATACATTTAAAAAATGTGTATCATAACATTTTTATGATATTGGTTTATTTTACTTACCAAAATAAATAACCATAGGCAGATTCTTAATTCTGAATGTGTTGTGATAAGACAGAATTTAGGCTCTCCACTTACATTGGGTACAGGAACATTAATATGGAAAGGGGACTATTTGTTTATTTTAATTAGGAAATACTTCAGAACTCTGCAGTTCTATTTTTTAAAGTAATAACATTGAGTGAAAGCCAGTACTATGTTAAATATTTTGTGAGGATCATTCTTATTTTATTAATTTTATTTATTTTAAATTCTCACTTGAGGATATTTTTTCATTGATTTTTTTTTTTTTTTTTAGATAGAGTGAAAGGGAGGGAAGGAGAGGGAGAGGAACGGGAAGACAGAGATGTGAGAGAGACACATCGATTGGTTGCCTCCCACACAACCCTGAGTGGGGCCAGGGATTGAACTTGCAATCAAGGTACGTACCCTTGACCAGGAATCAAACCCTCAACTCTTTGGTCTACAGGCCAATGCTCTAATAACAGCAACACCGGCCAGGGCTATTCTTATTTTAAAGATTAATAAACTGAAGCTTATGGAGGTGAGTATAATTAGAAAGGTTAATGTTGATATACCACGTCTATGTGAATTAAAACAGAAATGCCTGTTAATCTCTCATCACAGTTAGTTGAATGGAGTCTTCATTTCTTCTAACTGTATTGAGAATACATCTAAAACTGTATATGGGACAACAGTAATACTGAACTATCACAGTATATCACTTCTTGTCAATGCTCAGTTAATTCCATTACAATTCTTATAGGGTGGGTCTGATCATTTTAGTTATAATATATTGGTTGTAATAAATTATAAAACATTAGTAGAATAAAAAATTTCCCCCAAATATATGCATTTAAAAATAGCATTATCTGTTTTTTATATGTCAACATAGCAAGGAAGTGTGAGTCAGGCTAGACTCAAAGGAGAACACAGGAGTTGTATAAAACAGATTTGATCAGCATGCCCAAGTACATATCTCTCGTTTTGGGCCTCACAAATCATAAGCCAAGTGCCCTCCCAATTCTGGCTTGGGAAAATGAAGCACATGTTCCTTAACCGGTCCTCCAAAGATCTCTCAGGCTAGTTAGGAAAGGCTTGAAGGTGTCACTTTTTTCCCTCCAATGTAGCCAGCCCACCCTCACCCTACCTTACCAGCCGAGAATAGTGTTTAAAGCACAGACTTGAGTGTCACAGAGACCTGGGTTCAAATCTTGGCTGTACCAGCCCAAAGTGTTCTCCTCTATAACATGAGGTAACATTACTGCCTACTTCAAAGGGCTTTTGTGGAGATCAGATGAAGCCATGCCTGTGTGGCTTTCAGCTGAGTACTTTGTGTTTGGTAGTTTGTTGTTGTTACTGCTAGAGGTTAGAAAACAACATTTGGCTGTGGACCGAGACACTAGGGAATATTAGATTAATCTTCAGGTGGTACTTTTAGTTTAGAAAACTCTGCCGTCAGGTCAAGCACTTGTCATATTGGCAGAAAATAATAATGGTGTGTGATTTTCAGGGTGACCTACATATCCAGGGCGGGGAGAACTGAGAGCTAGAGGTAACTGATGTCAGGGCTGATGGCCTTCAGCACGTAGTCACTAATACTGATGATAGGTCAGAGTCCTTTAGACATTCTGCTGATTTTTGGTGGCAGATCTTGTTACTCTGGAACTAGTTATGGCCCAGAAGTTCAGTCACATGGAGCTTTAGAGAAAAAGAGTTTGGGGAAGCTGTCACTCACAGTGCTGGCCTGGCGTGATGGGAGCACCTTCCTGCTGCTCGCCGGTGTCTGTGACCACACTGCTGTGCGGGGTTGGATGGCACGAAGGAATCTGCGGTAGCTCTGCGGCCGCGCAGAGGAACTGATCGGCTCCCTTCTCCCTCACAAGCCGAAATGCAGACCCAAGGCTCTGATAAGTTTGCCTTCCCTTTTTTCATTCAAAACCGCATTGCAGAAATATCTGTTTCACTACGAGTTTTCTTCATCCATGTTTCCCTTTTCAAATTATGCTAACATTTTTTCACAGTGTCCAACTGTTTCGTTTTCAAATTTCTGATTAAATATTAAGAAAGAAAAACTTTTTCAGCATGAACATAGCTATCAATTAAGGTAAAAGACCCAATTTGTTTTGACTTGTTTCTAATACTTATTCTACTCTCCTGGAATAACATTTTGAAGATGATTATGGAAATATAGATTTGTTCCTTTTTAAAAAAAAATAGTAGTCAAAATTCATGTCTTGAAAGTTGTTTTTGTAGTTCTCAAATCCTCACTGCTTTATTTAGTTGCCCTCCCTCCCAAACATTTTTTCTAATGATTTCAGAATTATTTCTGTCCAACTTTGTATTTAAAGAAATAATTATAATGATTGCTTTTATTTTAATTAAAGAACACCGCAGTGCAGAAACTGAGTGTGTGATACATGAATACTTAGTGATTTGCATCACTGTTGTGAATCGTTTGACAATTATTTAATGCCCTGATTTTTAAAAATTTTCAATAGATTCTTAGTGATCACAATTTGGAGGTAGCAAAACTACAAGAATCAGTAAGACATTGGGAACAACAGGTCGAAGAAGTAAAGAAAGCCTGTGGACTTCTGGACAATAAAATGTAAATATGACACTTCATTTTTATTGAAGCATTTCTAGATATTATGTTTCTTTCATTAAAAAATTTAATAAGTGAAAATTATAATCTTTTAGTTTACTAAAATTTGTGTGACTGTCAGCTTTTTAGAAGCACCTCTTCATTTTAAAAGTACCCAGTCTTCCGTGTGATCAAGATGAGGCAGTCCTGTGGGGACGAGGCAGTCAGCTTAGGAAAGGAAGGGACTCTGGGAAATGTATTATTCCCACTTCAGCTCCTGACTCCTGCGAACAAATATGCCCCCAGGAAGGCATTTGTGAGGCCTGCTGCAAGGCCACAAGCTCACCTACCCATTGCCATTCTTAGTCAAGGGGGACTTGCAGAACTTATTGAGAAAATACGAGAAAGCCTTGGGGCAAAAACTTTTATCCATGGGACTGGAACCAGAAACTTAAGGGGATCTTCCAGTCCACCCCAGGGCCCACAGTCTCTCTTCCTTTTGCAAAAGTATTTTGTTCTTCTCTCTTTATCTACATGCTGTGGGTTCTCTTCCTGGTCAGCTCATGGGTAAGCAGGACCATTCCAGATCCTCTGAGTTCACCTGTCACAGGCCCATCTGTCTATAGAGATTGGCCAACAGACTCTCTCCCAGGAGAATTCCCAGATTTCCCATCAAAAGCTGCTTGGCCCAGCTTTGGACCAGAAGGTGGGGTCTTGTAATATAAATATGGCTTCTGTGCCTACTTCCAGGGTTCAGTTTAAAAGACAAACTGTGAACTGAGCAGATTCCACAGAACACAAGTAACTTCACATGTGGAATCCTGTGAAATGGCACATTTCTACATTCACAGATTTGAATGTATTGTGATTAAAATTATGTCTTTTAAAAGAGCGGTTGCCCAGTATAGCAGTCATCATCATTGATCCATAAAATAGGCAATAAAACTCAGTACCAGTTTTAAAATAGAAAACTCAAGCGTTACTACAGTTCAAACTCAGAATAAAAAGTCTTTTTCTTTCAAAGTGATTCAGTAGTTTTACTTCATATGTGTTTTAAAGAAAAACTAGGCAAAGAATCATACTGGAAGATTAGCTCTTAAATTATTTCTAGGAGTTATGATTAAAAATCTTGCTACAGCCCAGCCGGTGTGGTTCAGTGGTTAAGCATCAACCCATGCACCAAGAGGTCGCCAGTGCAATTCCCAGTCAGGGCACATGCCCAGGTTGTGGGCCCGATCCCCAGTGGGGGGCATGCAGGAGGCGGCCAGTTGATGTTCTCTCTCATCAATGTTTCTCTCTCTTTCTCCCTCTCCCTTCCTTTCTCTGTAAAATGAATAAAGGGAAATTTTTTTTTTTAAATCTTGCTACACTGATGAAGTTGTATTTATAAGCATTCTTCATGTTAGCTAACTTATTTCAAATATATGTTCAAAAAGAAAAATGAGGATTCATAGATCTTCCATTTATAAAAGATTCTCATCTTTTTTTTTTCTTCATCTTAGTTTTTTAAAGAGTTTTCATTCACTTGGAATTTCACTAAGGAAAAGTGCTTTTGATTAATTTGATGATAGAGGATATCGGTTACTCCCTGCTATTAAGAAAACTTTACTTTTTTTACTTGACAGATTAAAAAAAGTATCTACATGCTTTTTATTTTCTCACTTAGCTCATTTTCTCTATTTATAGAGGTGGGGAGAGGTAGCCTCGTTCTTGCTTTGTGGATTTGAAGAATCAAACAATGTTGTTTTATAAGATTCTTTGAGAATAAATTATACAAGAAACTAAAATAATTTGCACAACTTTGCTTTCTATTAATCTAGAAGCCTACTTTTCACCCCATGAAATCTTTAAACTGCAAGCTTGTTACCTATTTTGAGAGCAAAATATTGAGGAAAAACAAATATCATATAGCCCTGCATTTAAATTCTACATGTAGACAGTTAAGAGTACCTCAGATGTTCCACAAGTCCACAGGAGGCATTGATAGGTTAATCCTTGTTTTTTATTATTATTGACATCCAGCATGATGTGTTTGCAGAATAAAGGCGAATCACTGCCTACCTTTCTAAATTGCTATTTAGCTGGTTTTTAACACACAGGAAGTGGGGGATTGGTAGGTAAGTGTATATAAATGACATCCAATTTGTGACCCAGAGTATATAAAACCATTACAGTGTGGGAGACTACGAAAATTATAGATGTTTTTTAAAGGGGTTGAAATGGTTTCAAAATTTTCAAGGTTACTAATGATTTCCAATCTGCCAAACATTAGTGACCTAGTCTATTTCTTAAAGTTCTTGAATTCATAACAGAATTTGACATAATCACTTCCACCTTCTGGAAATACTTTCTTCACATGGTTTGCCAAACATCACATTCTCTTATTTCACTCACTACACTGCTCTTTCTCAGGGCTCTTTCCTTGTTCCAGTTCTTTCAGACTCGAAAATTTTATAGTTCCCACTCACACTCGCTAAACATGATTTCATCCAGTCTCATGCCTTAAATTCCTTCTGTATCCTATTGACTCCCAGATTTATATATCCAGCCCTGACCTCTAAATGCATAGACTCTACATCTTATTTTACCTCTCCATTTGGAGGATATCTGTGAGATATCTGAAATGTAACATATCCTAAACAGAATTCTTTTTTTTCTTTATTGATTTTTTTTTTTTTTTAAGAGAGAGGAAGGGAGAGGGAGAGACAGACAGAAACATCGATGAGAGAGAACATCGACCAGCTGCCTCCTGCATGCTCCCGACTGGGGATCGGGCCCACAACCTGGGCATATGCCCTGACCAGATATCGAACCGGTGACCTCCTGGTGCATGGGTCAATGCTCAACCACTGAGCCACACTGGCTGGGTACTAAACAGAATTTTTAATCCCCACCTCCTTGAAGCAGCTCTTCCTTTAGTCTTTCATATCACCCTTTACCTAGTTAATACAACCGACAACCATTCCTGTTTTTATCACTACCTAACCCTAACCCAACTCTAACTCTAGTCAAATCCAAAGGCATATCCTGTTGCCTTCATCTTAAAAATATATCTGAATCTAACTATTTATTTTTTTAAATATTTTTTCTTTATTGATTTTAGAGAGAGGAAAGGAGAGAGAGAAACATCGATGAGAGAGAACATAGATAGGCCGCCTCTCGCATGCCCCCCTCTGGGGATCAGGCCCACAACCTGTGCCCTGACTGGGAATTGCACTGGCGACCTCTTAGTGCATGGGTCGACATTCAACCACTGAGTTATACTGGCTGGGCTGAATCCAACTTTTTCTTACTACCTCCACCATTATCTCTTCTGGATCACAGCCATAACCTTTACATGGTTTGTCTTCCTGTACTGTTGTCTTTCTCCACTAAATAGCCAGAGTCGTCTTTACAAGATGTAAATCAGTTCATGTCACTCCTCTGCTTTAAAAGTCCTTCCCTGGTTTTCTTCAGAATAAAATCTGAACTTCTACCTTGTCCCCAGGACCTTATGCAATCTAGTCTCTGTCTACCTTTCTAGCTTTCTCATATCCATCTCTTTATGAAGTACACCAAGCTTGTTCCTGCCTCAGGATATTACTACCTGCTGTTTCTGCTACATGGAAAGCTCTTCCTTCAGATCTTCACATATCTGGCTCCTTCTCATTGTTTGGGTTTTTCACAAATCATTCCAAGAGGGTTTTTTTTTTTTATCTAAAGCAGTATCCTTGGTCTCAGAATTTCTCTGTCTTTTACCCTGCTTTGTGTTCTTTGGAGCACTTAACACTATCTGAAATATATTATTTATTTACTTTTCGGTAACTTGCTTATGTTCTGACTACTCCACTAGGGTGCAGTTTTTATGAGAGTAGGTACTTTGCCTGTGCTGTACCTCTAGTACCTGTAACACCTGCAAAATGCAGGCATTCAGTAATTGCTTCTTAAATGATTGGATAAGATAATAAAGCATTAATTCATCAATTCAAAAAAGTGAAATCTTTTGTCTATTATAACGAATATATAAATAAATATGTTACATAGGGCAATTTGGCTTTGCTGAGGAACATGTCTTAATATGAGTTTCTTTGGCTTCCTTTGTTCATAGAAAATTTTTTAAGATGAGCAAGGACAGAATGGTAAATGTAACTGATACTGAAAAAAGAGCATTATTGCAGAAGATAACTGAGGTAGGAAGACAGAAATGATTATTATTAGATTTTATTCTTAGTTAATATTTTAAATAAATGTGAGAAATGTGAAAATTTTCCAAAAGTAGATTTTTCATTAACTATGATCATTCACAGTAATTGATTTAAAGATTTTTATTCCCTCCCAGAGAACTTGAAGTGTATAAAAGAGCAAAGATTGTCCATGTGAAGATGAATCATTTGCTTGATAACTTTTCATGTGGGTATGGTTATTTACATTACGAATATCCAAGACTAATGGACATTTTTCATGTGAATTAATTAGAAAAATTAGGAGCTTCTTGCTGTTGTGTGGGACCACATTGCACTTAATAATGTTAGTGAAATATTTGAGTCAGATTTAGCCCCAAGGAGAAGTCACTAGACATTTTAAAATGTAGGTTCTAAGAAATATGATATTTTAAGTAAATAATCATGGGTGTAAACCAAGATTTTTCCACAAGATATTCAATGAAGCATTTATCATCATAGTTGAACAATTAGAGGGAAAATACAATTAAAGCTTGACAAAAGTGCCTTGATTAAATGTCATAGTTTATGATATGACAAATATAGTATAAAACAGTGCAGATAATATGACCCAATTTATACACACACACACAGACACACACACACATACATGCACAAATACATATGCACAACAGTCCTGATCCACCTTAATCCACCTTTGTGATCATGAACCATGGCTTATTAGCTTCTGGTTCACCCTTCACTGGAAGGTGAAGCTTTTTGAGATCCCGGACTAACATGATGGGAAGTTTATCAAGCTTAGCTCCTGGATGAGCTCTAAGTGTTGACATTTGTCAGCCTTGTCATGTAAGAAAACCAAAACTCAGTTCCCATGTGGTTTCTTTCATATCTGTAAATGTCCTAAGGGTAAAAGGACTTTGCAATACTAGATTTACCACTATGGATTCTTGCTTTCTTGCGGAAGTAGGTCTAGTAATTCCTCATTATCTTTTTCTTCAACACTTAATTTTTTTTTTTCATTCAGCTATTTTAATAGTCCTCAGCCAGAAGGTTATTTTGAACTAATCAGCCCACCATTGATACTAAATCTATCTTTTTCACCTCATTTGAAGCAATTCAGTAGAGACAACCAAACATGACTTTTTACCTCCTTCAGAACACTGATAAGTACTCTTTTTCTTGTCCTTAAATAGAAATATTTGACAGGACGCCAGCATAATATTCAGTCAAAGAGATTTTGAGCAAGAGTTTCTGTTGATATTTTACCTCCCTAGTGTAGTTTATCTTCTGAAAAAAAGACATACATCATAAACAGAATGATTCCCAGTTTATCAACCCCAATTCTTATTTCAATATGAATTGTTATTCTGTGGTAGTGCATCAGTGTATACTACCTTTCCACATTTTTGTCTTTATTTATAGAAGAGGCCCAAAACTATATAATTGCATATTTGATATAGAATCAAATCACTCAACATTTGTGGCACGGCCATTGTGTGCCAAACAATATGCGCAGTGCTCTAGAGAGTTGACCATCTGACCCTGACTCCCCTCAAAAGAACTGGGAAGCAAGTCCTCTACTTGTTTTTTTTTTCTAGATGGATGAAAAACTACACAAAGCTCAATTAGAAAACAAGAGTCTTCAGGAGAAATTGAAAACTCTTAGCAGACAATATAAGATTGTCTTGCAGGAGGAGGATAAAGTTTTTATCCAGAAAAAGAAATTGCAGGATGAGTATGTTTCTATTTCTGATCCATACATGAATCAATATGCCATAGTTATGGGGTGCTTTCCTTGCTATCAAAGTGGTAACTCTTGGGGGGGGGTGTCAATGGGAGGGAAAAGAAGAAACATCTGTAACAAAAATAAATTAATAAAAATAATTTTTAAAAAAACCGAAGTGGTAACTCTCCACTTAAACTTATCCTAGTTTTAAAATCCATTGACAATGATATTTGTTACCTAATAGAATAAACACACTCCTAATCTGTCTCTATAATACTGAGTAAAATTTCCTTCATATAGGTCAGATTGAATTCATAAATGTCAAATGCATTATTTTTATTTCCAAGTCAGATTCATGAAAGAAAGAATAATCATACTTTTACTCTACAGGGCCATCTAGAGAAACTAGGCGATCTGCCTTCATCAGAAACGGGCTCTGCACCTGTATCCCCTATCCCAGAGAAGGGTTTGGTCACTGACACAGTCCTCTAACTTAGACACTGGGAAATTAGTCAAGGAAACTCTTATCTTTTACTACTCATTGCACTCCATTTAAGTACCATGGCTTATCAATTCCACCTCCCAAATACTTCTCAAATATACCCTATCCGCCTCTCCAACTTCATTCTTTTCACCCTTTTCAGCCTCTGGTTTGGCTTTCCCCTTAAAAGTTCCTCCCACTTTCTGCTTTACCACCTGTATCTCATCTACCTCCCTTCCGCCAGAATGATCCTCTGAAACATCCCTCTAATGTCATTCTTTTTCTTCAGTTATTGCATTGTCATCAACTCGGTAGAAATCCCTCTATCCTACTGAACTAGGAGCAGATCAGGGCATTGCCCCGTTTCACTCAGCACTGTATCCCTAAGGTCTTGTACATTGTTTAGCGGGCTGTGGGCATTCACCACTATCTTCTTAATAAATACTACAGAATAACATCTTGCAAGGATAAACTATGTAAATAATAATCAATCTCTACACTTGAAGTTAAATCTCATGGACATGTAACTGCAGTGCCCAGGCCCACTCATTGTAGAGCTAGGTTTGTGGTCATTGTTGTAGCACTTAAGCTGGAGAGAGCTGTTGGAGTAATGTTATCTCACCCAACTGAACAGCTTGCTGAGAATAATATTGTTAATCTTCTTTAGGCAAAACTTTCCTCAGATAAATACAAAGTTATCAGTTTGAAACATAAAATGTACTGATGATAAATAATGGTAACACTAAAATGTTTACCACCTTTATTGGTTTTTGTCTTCTTCAGCTTGAGCTTCTATAACAGAATACCACAAAGTGGGTTGTTTAAGCAACAGAAATGTATTTCTCTCAGTTCTGGAGGCTGGATATCCCAGATTAGGGAGCCAGCATTGTCAGATTCTGGTGACAGCTCTCTTCCTGGCTTGCAGATGGCCACTATCTCACTGTGTCCTCGAATGGAGGGAACAGAGCAAGCACTCTGGTGTCTTTTCTTAGAAGGACACTAATCCCTTCATAAGAGCCCCACCCTCATGACCTCATCTAAACCAAATCCCCTCCCAAGGGCCACATCTTCAAATACCTTCACATTGGTGGTTAGGGCTTCAACATATGAATTTGTGGAGGGCACAATTTAGTCCATAGTCGTTTTGAAGAACTACTTCACATAAAGTACTTTCTGTTACAGGCATGTTCCTATCAATGTGTGGAAATGTGAACAATACCATAATCTTCCTATTATTATTTCTGCAAGTTAGAGACCAAAAAATAATAATAATAACAAACCCCTTTTTATAAAATGCTTATATCTCATTTAATCCTTATACCTGGTGAGATAGGTATTGTAATCCCCATTGTATGGATGGGAAACAGAGACTCATTAACAGGTGAAGTTTCTTTTCAAGATCTCGCTCCTGGAAAGAGGTAGAGCCAGTGTCCAAAATTGATCTGATTGACCTCTTCACCTTTCACAAAAGAACATGGCGGAATTGATAAATGTAGTAGGAGAGACATACCCACTCAGAAGGATAAAGTACTGTAGAGCTGTTATTCTTAATTAGCTTGGGGATTTTCATACATTTAGATTTTGTCACCACAGCAGAAAGACTTTGCTTCTACTTTTACTGATTGATTGGGAAAATCCACTGGATAAATAGTTTATGAACTGAATTTTCCAAACTATTTTTGAAATTTTTGTAATGAATGACATGCTTTTATCATGCTGAGGATTTAAAAATAATTATTTAAACTTTTAACATGATAGCTCTGTTTTTTTGTTCATGGTAGAAATCGTAGACAAATGGCATTTATTGCTCAGAAAGAAAACTTCCTATCACAAAGAAAAGTAGACATCAAAAATATGGAAGAAGGACTGATCACACTTACTGAACTTCATCGGTATGTTTGTTACCTTTGGAATCTTTAGTCTGCATTCTTCCCCGCATTTGTTTTTTTCATAAATAGTAGCCAATTTATAATATACTGTATAAAAGGAGATTTATAATTAGCTCTCTTTGTTTTACAAGTTAGGGCTCTAACAAAAAGAATGGGCCCAAACATTATGACAACACCACCCCTATGATGTGCATTTCTACCATTCTAAATTACTTTAATATCTCTTTTAATTTTTTTGATTAGAGAAGTAATATCTATACCTGATTTTATTTATTTATTTTCTTTATTGATTTTTTTTTTTTTTTTTTAGAGAGAAAGGAAGGGAGAGGGAGAGAGAGAGAGATAGAAACACCGACAAGTGGACAAGTGAGAACATTGATTGGCCGCCTCCTGCATGCCCCCAACCTGGGCATGTGCCCTGACTGGGAATTCAACTGGCAACCTCTTGGAATTTTAAAATTCAAATATAGAAATGTGTAACTTAGCCCTGGCTGGTGTGGCTCAGCGGTTAGAGTGTTGGACTGCAGACCGATGAGTCACGGGTTCGATTTGGGTCAAGGGCACGTACCTTGGTTGAGGTTCATCCCCAGCCATGGTCTGGTCATGTGGGAGGCAGCCAGTTAATGTGACTCTATCACATCGATGTTTCTCTCTCTCTCTCTCTCTCTCTCTCTCTCTTCCTCTCTTCCCCTCCCTCTCTCTCTCTCTCTCCCTCTCCCTCTCTCTCTCCCTCCCTCCCTCCTACCCACTCTATCTAATAATAAATAGAAAAATATCCTCAGGTAAGGAATGAAAAAAAATGAAATGTGTTATTTAGAGAATAAAAGTTACCTAATCCCGCCAGAGATAATCATGTTAACAGTTTGCTATACATGCTTTCTAATATATGTGTATATATATATTTATATATATGTATGTACAGAGTGTCCCAAAAAATGTATACACAACTTTGAATAATTGTAAAGCTAGTGTTTATTAAAATACATTTTATTTTCAAAATGTAAAAGAATCTACAGATGCCCTGTATACCTTTTTTAGAGACACCCTGTACATAGGACCTCTTTCTTCATTCTTTTCTCTAACTGCATAGTATTTCTTTTACAGATTACACTGTATTTTATTGAACCAATACTCTATTGACGGACATTTGGGTTTTTTTCTGTTTCCTATATCACAAACAGTTTTCAAAATTAACATCAACATATCTCTGTCAATCTATGTGACTATTTCTCTATAATAAGTCCTAAAAGTTGAATTACTGGATCAAAGAGGGTTGTATATTTTTTATTTTTACAATTATTATCAAAATTCCCTATATAACTATTCTATCACTTGACACTCTCACTAACACTAGGCATAAAACAACTTATACTTTAGTTGGACACGTGATCAATACTATCACACATGCATTAACAAATGAATCGTGTGTGACTGAAGGGTAGTGTGAATTATAAAAAACAATCAGAGAAGGATGAAAGAAAGTGAAGTCAAGGAGTTCTTTATTATATAAGATTTAAAACTTCAACTAGACCTTTGAAAGCAAAGATTTTCTGTTTGGTTATCAAATGAAGAATAATACCACCACAGAGAGAGAGAGAGACAAGATTTGAATATAGGACACTGACGAGACCAACTCCTAGAAAACTAAGATGGGTGGTGATGAGGATTCAACAACAACAGAAATGTAGAACAAGGCAGGAGGACAAGCTTTTTGGTTGCTTGTCCATATATTGTTAAATAATATATTTAAACATGTATTTCTCTTCATATGAGCCCAGGAAAGGAAGCTATAAACTTTTCACTATACAGAGCAGAGAAATAGCCCTCCCAGTGTGGCTCAATTCCTGGTCAGGGCACATGCCCAGGTTGTGGGCCCAATCCCCAGTGGGGGGCATGCAGGAGGCGGCCAATAGATGTTCTCTCTCATTGATGTTTCTCTCTCTCCCTCTCCCTTCCTCTCTCTCTAAAATCAATAAAGGAAAAAAAATTTTTTTTTAAAGAGCAGGAAAATAGAACTGGGTTGATTAGGGTTTTATTTTCCTCATAAATAATGCAAATTTATAATGAATTATTGTATCATCATTACTCTGGTCACCAGGAAGCTCAGAGCCGAATTTGGCCCAGTATTGGTATCCATTAAGGATTTTTAAAATATTACTATTGTTTTATTTTAAGCTAGTCAACTTCTTTGTGGATTAAATTAAATATGTAAATAAATAAAATCAATTACACTGGGCAAATTGTAAAGTTCTAGGGGAGGATATTAAGTTTATTAGGTAAGAAATTGAGAATTCATACTATTATTTCAAATAGAGAAAAAAACATGAGCACAATGTGTTTGTAGTTTATTTAATAGTGTTTCATATTCTAAGTTTCATTTATGAATATTTCTGTCTTTTAAAAAGATATAAAGTCACATTTTACTTATGTGGCCTTCCATTCATCACTGTGCCTGAAGCACTTAACGGGAAAAAGGGAATAAAAGTAGTAGTTTTCTAATATCTACGTTAGAGTCTTCACATTTTCATCCATTTTAGATTCACCAGAAAAATCTTCCATCCTTAATTACTGTTTACCCCTAGTTCAAGAATTTCTATTGACTTCCTGAATTAAACATTGTATTAAATCATAACTCAATTTAGAATTCAGAGTTTCTCACCAGTTTGTTGACTTAACCCCCCCCTATATCGTGATGTTATTTCCCTTCCCATCCCTCTGTATGCACCAAGCCTGTCTTCCTCACAGGAGTCCTGACTTGCAGTTCCTTCCCCCTGTGTCTTTGCAAATGATGACATCCTTTCCTTGGTGAGACTGCTCCTCCATTCTGGCAGTCCACCTTCCTCCTCCTACTAACCATGAACCTGCAGTGACCTTTCCCCAAATGCCCCCCAGAATCTATTCTGTATCCTTGGATTTCCTTTTCAGTACTTGCAAAAATCAGTGTGTGCTGGCACAGAACTGTAATTCTGTTAGTTTGCCACTAAAATCTTCAGTTTTACATGGTTTGTTTTGTCTCCCAATTAGGCAGTAACCTTATTGGGCATAAGAATTATACATTAAGTTTTATGTATTCTAAGGGCTCCCACAAATGCCAAATATATCTTTTTATGTTTTTAGAGCATCAAAGGACGTCTATCGGAAACAAATAAAAATCCTGAGTGATAACCTGGAAAGAGAACGTCAGAGACGGTAAAGAACGCAAGTTCCTTTGTGTTATAAATAGTGTGTGTTATATATTATCTCAATGAACACTGCCCCAAAGTAGGGAGGAAATCAGAGGTCTTGGTGGTTGCTAGAGTCCACGGAACTGATTATCCTAAGTTAAATTGTGTAATTTCTCTCAGATCTAGATGTGTGTGTAAGTTTGATTTTTTTTTTTTTTTTTGGCATTGAACAGAACCAGAGTTTTTCATTTCAGATGAGTGGAGTCATGAAAGAGTAAAAGTAAAATTGCCAAGATTTCTGAAATGCCTCTTGCACATCCAGGCTTCCGTGTGGACAGGAGGGGATGAGCAGGGTCAGAGGAGAGGGACTGGGAGTACAGGTCTGCAGACGGGCGGTTCGACTGCTCTGCCTCTAACGAGCTGTGCGACCAAGGCCCAGTTACTTAATGATCTCTCTGCTTCCATCCTTATAAAGTGGGGAATGATAGTAGCAGCTACCTTGTAATGGTAAATGAGATGACCCACGTAAAGTATTTTGATCAGCATCAGCAGCTAGGAAGCACGTGGGAAAACTTAGCTCTACTTTATTATTGTTGTCATGGGCATTAATATGATGTATAAGACGTGAATTGCACGTTTTCACCCCCAATTATGTAGCTTTTTAATGTGGTAGAGAGAAAAATTTGAGAACCTGGAAGCTTGAAATCTGTTATTAGCCCTTTGGGTAGTTTAGGTAATTCCATTACTATTCTGCCTGGGCCTCCTCTTTTTCCTCTTGCCCCTGAAGCTTTCTCATTTCTGTCCTTCACCTAAAGGGGGCGCGCTGCCAAGTGCGGTTTGTCCGCTGTCCTCCTGGATGTGCCCATACAGCTTCTTACTTCGAAGCAGCGTCCGGGTCCCGCATCGGCATCGAGGCAGTCAACGTTTTGACTGTTTTTTTCAGTGAACGCGCAGTCTGCATCACCAATAGCACAAACCGTTTTCTGTAATTGTAGTAGAATTTGTTTTGTTTTGCATTTCTTCATCTTTTCAGCAGACTGTTATGTCAATTTAATGATTCTTTGTCCTAATCTCTAGTATTATAACTCAGTGGAAAATAGCTTGTTTGAGAAAAGGCCATGAACGTTGGCTACTCAGGACAAAAACGGAATTACAAGAAATTATGGATCAAATTCAGATCACAGACTCTAGACGCAATCGGCTATTAGAAGAGGTAAGGGAACGCAACAGACTTAGTATTAGTCCCCTACATTGCGTATCAGTAATGCTCCTTCAATATTTAATTTAACCAAAAGAGATTTTCCTTTCTGTTGACTTCATGTTTAGGGTGCATTATGTAACTTTCTTAATAAGTATATCTATTTGCTGTGTATTAAGTGTAGGAATTTAGCAAACGAGGTAGCAGTTCTCTCCAGGATATGCTTTTGAAGCCTGTAATCAGAAGCTTGATAGTTTGTCAAGAATTTATCTCTAAAAATAAAGAGACCAAACATCATTTATTTAGCTTCCATATTCACCCTCTGCCCTCCTCCATCGTCCACCACTCCATCCTCCATGCCCTCATGTCATTTATAGATATTGTTTGGTGAAGAACTCAATCTCCGAAGGGGGGCGGGCCTTCTCACTGGTTATTGAGAACTAATGACCTGAAATCAGAGTCACATTTCATGCAACAAGATATTAATATACCTGGGTGTTTGAAAATATAAGAATGACGACTTCTGGTCAAGATGACAGCATAGCTAAACGCGGTATCACCTCCTCCCACAACCACATCAAAATTACAACCAAACTACAACACAGCCATCTTCAGAACCACCTGAAATTGAGCTGAATGGAATTCCTACAACTATGGAATTAAAGCAGCAGCCACATCCAGACTGGTAGGAGGGGCGGAGGCGGACAGGCTGGTCTCACACCCACGTGTGGCGGATAAAAATCAGGAGGATACCTCTGCTGGGAAGGTCCTCCCTGAGGACTGAGGGGTCCCTGTCCCACACCAGGCCCCCAGCTCAGGGTTCCTAATGCCAGGAAGGGAAGTCCCATAACTTCTGGCTGGAAAACCAGCAGGAACTGAGACCCAGGGAGGCTGAGGCGGCTGGAGCCCCAGGCAGCTCCTCTTAAAGGGGCCACTCACGGACTTACTCAGACTTGCTCCTTCCAAGCTTGGAGGGCAGGCACCGTGAAAGGCACAAAAGAGATACAGAGAAGAACTGAACTGTCTGGCCTCCAATCAAGGGCTGGAGAGGCAACTTTCTTTCAGACAGATATGCTGGAGGAGGCCTTTGTTCCTTTGGTGAGCCCTTCCCCAGGGAGGCAGCCAGGGCCATATCTGGGACTCCAGCAACCTGGCTCACACTCTGCCCCACCCCAGTGATTCCCTGAGGCCCTGCCCCACCCAACTTTTGGGCCCATGCAAGTTGTTTCCAGTGGATTGGCCTGTCTTGGATCCTACTTCAGAGTTTCCTAAAATCTCTCAAACAAGCAGCATCTGGTCTCAGTGAGCCCCATACCTCTCTTTAAGTGACCCCAGACCTGGCACTAGAAGCAGCCAACCTTGACTCACAGCTTGACTTTGCCTGGGCACCTCCAAGCCCAGCACAAGAAGCAGCCATCTGCAGATCACTTTGTAGCTTATGCTGGGTGGCCCTGGATAGAACATAGGCAGTGGCTGACCTTGCCCCAGAGCCAGCACACCCAGTGGACAGCCTCAGACCACATTTAAACACACCACCCAATCACCTCCACAAGTGACACACTCAATGAGTGGACTCAGTGGGTACCAAGCCCTGCTGAAGTAAGTCTTGCTCTGTGTGGTGGGCTCCTGCACAGCTGATCCTCCAACGGAGTCGCAGGCCAGTGGTCAGTGGGCACAGCCAGTCCTCGCAGCTGATCAGCCTGAGTAAATCCCTCCCACTGACGTGCCAACAGCAATCAAGACTCAATTACAACAGAAGGGTGTACAGTCCACACTAGGGGTGCACCTTGAGGGCCCAGCTGGGGTGATCAGGGAGGCTGTGCCACTGGACCCTACAGGACACCTACAATAATAGGCCACCCTATGAAGCCTAGGAGACATAGCAACTCTACCTAATACCTAGAAACAATCACAGGGAAACAGCCAAAATGAGGAGACAAACATGCCTCAAATGAAAGAAAAGAACAAAACTCCAGGAAAAGAACTAAACAAAATGGAGATAAGCAATCTGATGCAGAGTTCAAAACACTAGTTGTAAGGTTGCCCAAGGAATTTAGCGAGACATTCAAGGAACTTAGTGAGACCTTCAAGGAACTTAAGGAGATCTCCAAGGAAATTAGTGAGAACATCAGCAACATAAAAAAGGACTAATCATAAATTAAGGATGCACTAACTGAAATAAAGAATAATTTACAGGGAATCAATAGTAGAGTAAGTAAGCCAAGAAGCAAACCATCAATTTGGAATATAACAAAGCAAAAAATGCCCAATCAGAACAGCAAAAAGAAAAAAGAATCCAAAAAAAACTGAGGATAGTGTAAGGAGCCTCTGGAACAACTTCAAGCATGCCAACATTCACATCTTAGGGGTGCCAGAAGGAGAAGAGAGAGAACAAGAAATTGAAAACCTATTTGAAACAATAATGACAGAAAACTTCCCTGACTTGATGAAGGAAACAGACATATATAGTCCAGGAAGCACAGAGAGTCCCAAACAAGATGAACCCAAAGAGGTCCACACCAAGACACATCACCATCAAAATGCCAAAGGTTAAAGACAAAGTAGGAATGTGTTTTTTTTTTTTATGAATTTTTAGTTACAGATATTTTATCTTTTTACCCCATTGGCACCCCCCACCCCACCCCACCTCCGCCCCGTCCCCGGCTTAGTTGTCCATGTCCATTGGTCATGCATACATGCATATAAGTTCTGTGGTTTATCTCTTCCCACTCCCCCACCCCCTCACCCCCTCTTCTGAGGGATGTCAGTCTGTGCCCTACTTCCATGTTTCTGGGTCTACTGTATTCCTCAGACTGTTATGTTCATTATATTCTGTATATAAGTGAGATCATGTGGTATTTGTCTTTTTCTGCTTGGCTTCTTTCACTTAGGATAATACTTTCCAGGTCCCTCCATGTCGTCTCAAAGGATAAGAGATCTTTCTTTCTTACTGCTGCGTAGTACTCCATTGTGTATATGTACCACTGCTTTTTTATCCATTCGTCTACTGGTGGACACTTGGGTTGTTTCCAGATCTTAGCTATTGTAAATAGTGCTGCTATGAACATGGGGGTACATATATTCTTCCTGATTGGTGTTTCAGGCTTCTTAGGGTATATTCCCAGCAGTGGGATCACTAGGTCAAATGGAAGTTCAATTTTTAATTTTTTGAGGTAGCACCATATTGTTTTCCATAGCGGCTGCACCAGTCTGCATTCCCACCAGCAGTGTATTAGAGTCCCCTTTTCTCCACACCCTCGCCAACACTTGTTGTTTGATGATTTGTTGATGGCGGCCATTCTGACAGGTGTGAGGTGATACCTCATTGTTGTTTTAATTTGCATCTCTCTGATGATTAGTGATGTTGAGCATTTCTTCATATGTCTCTTGGCCATTTGTATGTCCTGTTTGGAGAGGTGTCTATTCAGCTCCTCTGCCCATTTTTTAATTGGGTTCTTTGTCTTCCTTTTGTGGAGTTGTATGAGCACTCGGTATATATTGGAAATTAACCCCTTATCTGATACATCATTGGCGATGATGTTCTCCCATACAGTGGGTTGCCTTTCCATTTTGATGATTGTTTCTTTTGCTGTGCAGAAGCTTTTTAGTTTGATGTAGTCCCATGTGTTCATTTTCTCCTTTATTTCTGTTGCCTTAGGTGATGTATCAGTGAAAATTCTGCTCCGTATGATGTCCGAAATTTTGTTGCCTACATTTTCTTCTAGAATTTTTATGGATTCACGGGTCACATTTAAGTCTTTTATCCATTTTGAGTTTATTTTTGTGTATGGTGTAAGTTGATGGTCTAGTTTCATTTTTTTGCATGTAGCTGTCCAATTTTCCCAACACCATTTATTAAAGAGGCTGTCTTTACTCCACTGTATGCTCTTGCCACCTTTGTCAAATATTAATTGAGCGTATTGCCTTGAGTCCATTTCTGGGTTTTCAGTTCTGTTCCACTGGTCTATATGCCTGTTCTTTTGCCAGTACCAGGCTGTTTTGGTTACAGTCACTTTGTAGTATAACCTGATATCTGGTGTTGTGATCCCACCTACTTTGTTCTTCTTTTTCAAGATTGCTGTGGCTATTCGGGGTCTTTTTTGGTTCCATATGAACTTTTGAAGTATTTGTTCTAGTTCTATGAAATATGTTGTTGGTATTTTGATGGGGATTGCATTGAATCTATAGATTGCTTTGGGCAGTATGGACATTTTAATGATGTTAATTCTTCCAATCCATGAACAGGGTATGTGCTTCCACTTTTTTATATCTTCCTCTATTTCTTTTTTCAATGACCTGTAGTTTTCTGCAAATAGGTCCTTTACTTCTTTGGTTAAGTTTATTCCTAGGTATCGTAATTTTTTTGGCCTGATGGTAAATGGGATTGTTTTTTCACTTTCTCTTTCTGTGAGTTCATCATTGGTGTACAAGAATGCCGTAGATTTCTTGATGTTAATTTTGTATCCTGCTACTTTGCCAAATTCATTTATTAAGTCTAGTAGATTTTTGATGGAGTCTTTAGGGTTTTCTGTGTATAATATCATGTCATCTGCAAATAATGACAGTTTCACTTCCTCCTTTCCAATTTGGATCCCTTTTATTTTTTCTTCATGTCTGATTGCTGTGGCTAAGACTTCCAGTACAATGTTAAATAAGAGTGGCGAAAGTGGACATCCCTGTCTTGTTCCTGTTCTTAACGGAAATGTTTTTAGTTTGTGTCCATTGAGTATGATGTTGGCTGTAGGTCTTTCATATATGGCCTTTATTATGTCGAGATATGATCCCTCTATTCCTACATTGCTGAGCGTTTTTATCCAAAATGGATGCTGGATTTTGTCGAATGCTTTTTCAGCATCTATTGATATGATCATGTGGTTTTTATTCTTCATTTTGTTTATGTGGTGTATCACGTTTATTGATTTGCGAATATTGTACCAGCCTTGCATCCCTGGAATGAATCCCACTTGGTCATGGTGAATAATTTTTTTGATGTATTTCTGGATCCGATTTGCTAATATTTTGTTCAGGATTTTGGCGTCTATGTTCATCAGGGATATTGGCCTGTAGTTTTCTTTCTTCGTAGTGTCTTTTTCTGGTTTTGGAATTAGAATTATGCTGGCCTCATAGAACGTGTTTGGAAGTCTTCCTTCTTCTTGAATTTTTTGAAATAGTTTGAGGAGAATGGGTGTTAGTTCTTTTTTGAATGTTCGGTAAAACTCCCCCGTGAAGCCATCTGGGCCTGGGCTTTTGTTTGCTGGGAGAGTCTTGATTACCTCTTCAATTTCCTTAGTTGTTATTGGTCTGTTCAAGTTTTCTCTCTCTTTCGGGAATAGTTTTGGGAGACTGTGTGTTTCTAGAAATTTGTCCATTTCACTTAGATTGTCGAATTTGTTGCCATATAGTTGTTCATAGTAGTTGTTAATGATCTTTTGTATTTCCGTGGTGTTGGTTGTTACTTCCCTTTCATTTCTTATTTTGTGTTTTTGGGTTCTCTCTGTTTCTTGGTGAGTCTAGCTAAGGGTCCATCAATCTTGTTTATCTTTTCGAAAAACCAGCTCTCTGTTTCATTGATCCTTTGAATTGTTTTTTTGGTCTCTATGTCATTTATTTCTGCTCTGATCTTTACTATTTCCTTCCTTCTACTTGCTCTGGGGTTTTCTTTTTGTTTGCTTTCTAATTCTTTAAGTTGTGAGGTTAGACAGTCAATTAGAAATTTTTCTTGTTTTTTGAGGTAGGCCTGTAGTGCTATGAACTTCCCTCTCAGAACTGCTTTCGCTGCATCCCATAGATTTTGTGTTGTTGTGTGTTCGTTTTCGTTGGTTTCCAGGAAGTTTTTAATTTCTTCCTTGATCTCCTCGGTGACCCATTCATTGTTTAATAACATGCTATTTAGCCTCCATGTGTTGAAATGTCTTTGCATGTTCTTGTTGCAATTGATTTCTAGTTTCATGCCATTGTGATCTGAGAAGATGCTTGATATGATTTCAATCTTCTTGAACTTGTAGAGATTTAGTTTGTGTCCTATCATGTGGTCTATCTTTGAGAATGTCCCATGTGCACTTGAGAAGAATGTGTATTCTGTAGTTTTGCGGTGTAATTCTCTGTAGATATCTATTAAATCCATTTGGTCTAGTGCTTCATTTAGAGTCTCTGTTTCCTTGCTAATTTTTTGCCTAGAGGATCTATCCAGTGCTGTCAACGGGGTGTTGAAGTCCCCTGCTATGATTGTATTGTAGTTGATTTCTCCTTGGAAGTCCTCCAGAAGATTTTTAATATATTTTGGTGCTCCTATATTGGGTGCATATATGTTTATCAAGGTTATATCTTCCTGTTGGAATGATCCTTTCAATATTATGTAGTGGCCGTCTTTGTCTCTAGTTATGGTCTTCATTTTGAAATCTATTTTATCAGATATGAGAATTGCTACCCCAGCTTTTTTTTGCTTTCCATTTGCTTGGAAAAATTTTTTCCATCCCTTCACTTTCAACCTATGTGAGTCTTTTGTTGAGAGGTGGGTCTCTTGTAAACAACATATAGATGAGTCATGCTTTCTTATCCAATCAGCTACTCTGTGTCTTTTTATGGGAGCATTCAATCCATTTACGTTTAAGGTGATTATTGATATGTACTTATTTATTGCCATTTTTGTTTAGTGTGGTTCTATTTTTCTTCCCATTTCTACTGCTAATTACAGCAGTCCTTTTAACATTTCTTGCAGTGCTGGTTTGGTGCTAATATATTCCCTTAGCCTTTTTTTGTCTGGGAAGCTCTTTATTTGATCCTTTATTTTGAATGATAGCCTTGCTGGGTAGAGTAGTCTTGGATTCAGATTCTTGTTTTTCATGACTTTGATTACTTCATGCCATTCTCTTCTGGCCTGTAGTGTTTCTTGTGAGAAGTCAGCTGAGAGCCTTATGGGGTTCCCTTTGTAGGTAACCTGTTGCTTATCTCTTGCTGCTTTTAGGATTCTCTCTTTGTCTTTAATTTGTGGCATTTTAATTACTATGTGTCTTGGTGTGGGCCTGTTTGGGTTCTTCTTACTTGGGACTCTCTGTGCTTCTTGAACTTGAATGCCTTCTTCCTTCACCAAATTAGGGAAGTTTTCTCTCACTATTTTTTTGAATATATTCTCTATCCCTTGCTCATTTTCTTTTTTTTCGGGGACTCCTATGATGCGAATATTATTACGTTTCCAGTTGTCCCATAGTTCTCTTAAGCTGTCTTCCTGTTTTTTAATAGTTTTTTCCTTTTGTTTTTCTGATTGGTTGATTTTTTCTACCCTGTCTTCTAATTCACTGATCCGGTCCTCAGCTTCCTCTACTCTGCTTTTTAAACCTTCCAATGTGTTTTTCATTTCTGATATGTCATTTTTTATCTCTTCTTGTTGGTTTTTAATTTCCAATTGGCTTATTTTCAATGTCTCTATGTCCTTACTCATGCTGTTCAGCTTTCTCAAGATCATGGCTCTGAATTCTAGCTCTGTTAACATGCCTAATTGCTCCACATTGATCTCATCTTCGGTGGAGGTCTCTTGCTCTTTCATTTGGCTTCTGTTTCTGTGTTTCACCATTTTGGCTATCACTGTGGGCTTTGGAGCCTGTCAAGTTCTCCCTGTGGGTGTTGGTGTTCTGCTGTTTGTGGCTCCCTCTCCTGTGTTTAGATGAGCGAGGGAGGACCCACGTTGAACACCACTGTCAAGTCTTACTTTCCTGGTTAAAGTTGCCAGCCCAGGAAAGGTACTGTTATCCTCTAGCTTTTTACCTGGAGGCTAGCAGTCGAGGTTACTTGATGAGTTTTGCATTGTCAGTTGATTGAAAAGCTCCCTCAGGTGCTTAGCACAAGGGGATTTCCTGAGGGTGGGGCAGATGCTGTTGTTAATGAGCCTCAATTAGCACTTCAATGGCCCACAGGGTGGGGTTGGATCTCCGAGGGAGGGGCTGCTGCCTCTCTTCAGAGCCCTGGGAAGGAGCAATGTGGCCACCGTCCTGCGTGGCTGCACTCAGCCAAAGCTCTGAGCGCCCTCCAGATCCCGAGTGTCCCGACACAGTTCCAGTCCAGTCTGCCCTCCCTCTGCCGGAGCCCAAGGTGAGTGGCTGTGGCTGTTTCAGCCTCTGTCCCGGCTCTGCGCTGTGGAGCCGCCTGGGAGTGTAACCCGAGGGCGCTGCTCCCAGCTGAGGCCGCTGCCGAGCTGCCGACCGTGGGCTCCCAGCCCCGTCTCACGCCTTCGCAAGCCTACCGGGATGGAGTCAGTGTCCCTCGTTGTATGGTCCTCACAAGCTGCTTTTCTGTTGGTTTTTCCCGTCGATTTGTCTGTGTTATAGTTGTAATTCCAGTTTGGTTCTGGGAGACGGTCTGTGTAGCTTCCGTTCACTCCGCCGCCATTTTTTCCAGTCCAAAGTGGGAATGTTAAAAGTAGCAAGAGAAAAGCAGTTTGTTACCTACAAAGAAGCTTCCATAAGACCGTCAGCTGATTTCTGAAAAGAAACTTTGCAGGCCAGAAGGGAGTGGCAAGAGATATTCAAGGTGATGAAAAGCAACAACCTACAACCAAGATTACTCTATCCTGCAAAGCTATCATATAGAATCAATGGCCATTTCAAGAGTTTCCCAGACAAGAGAGAGCTAAAGGAGTTCATCACCACCAAACCAGTATTATATGAAATGTTGAAGGGTCTTCTTGAAGGAGAAGAACTAAAATATGAACAATAAAATGGCAATTAATACATATCTATCAACAATTGAATCTACAAACAAAATGAGTAAGCAGAAGAGAAACAGACTCATAGGTACAGAGAACTTTCTGTTGCTTGCCTGATGGGCAGGGGTTGGAGGGATGGGTGAAAAAGATAATGGAATTAAGAAGTACAAATTCGTTATTAGACTGATGAACCTCAAAGGGAAGGGGGAGGGAGGACAGGATGAGATAAACCAAAGAACTTCTATGCATATATGCACAAGCAATTGACACTGACAATAGTGTGGGGAAGGCAGGAGGGGGGCGGGATTAGGGAGGAGGGGGTCAGTGGGGAAAAAAGGGGGGATGTCTGTAATACATTCAACAATAAAGATGAGTTATAAAAAAATAAAACAGAAAATATAAGGATGACTGCTACAAGACAAATGACAAATCCTCTAATTTTTTTTTTTTTTTTTCCTAATTAGACCAGTGTTAGACAAAAAGAAATCAATGACTATTTGGCACAGATTGAAAATATTTCGATGGAATTAAAACAAGAGGAAAAGAAATTTATCCTCAAGGAAAAGAAGTTAATTCAAAATTTGAGCGACTATGAGGTAAAAATTTTATTTTGCATCTAAAAATAATTTTAAATGGCCATATGCAGGGAAGAGGGGTAGATTTCATACTCTAATTAGTTACATATAAAATAAATCTTTTGGTATGAACAAGGTTACCATTTCATTCTGAATTTTTCTTCTTTTCCCAAAAGGGAAGTATTTTTGTGCTGATTGGGAACTGCCAAGAGCTGACCTGGGATAGAATAGGGCTTGATTGCTGGGGCAGGAGGAGAAAAGGGGACCAGAGATACCTAGGGGGCCCAGAGGTGGCAGGTATCCAGAAACAACAGAAAACACACCTTGCCTTTTTTCTTTCTTTTTTTATCCTCACCCGAGGACATTTTTGCATTCATCTTCAGATAGAGCAGGAGGGAGAGAGGGAGCAAGAGAGAGAGAAACATCGATGTAGAGAGACACATCGAGTGGTCGCCACCTACACGACCCCAATTGGCCGGGGACAAACTGCAACCGAGGTACGTGCCCTTAGCGAGAACCGGACCGGGTCTCTCCAGTCTGCGGGCTGACGCTCAAACTGGCCAGGGCAGAAAACACACCTTTTCAAGGTGATGGTATGACTTTGAAAGACAAGGGTGTGTTTCTTAGAGACCTCCATTGGTAGAGAAGCTGAGGAGAGAAGACACGTGGTCCCTGCCTTCCTGACTTGACTTGGTTTGAGGGGGAAGAGGCCCGGCTGCACCAAACGGTTTCTATTCGAAGGCAGTCCTTGGCTGGCGCGATGGAGCAGGGAGTCCTCTGGTCCACGCTCCTTCCCCACGTACGTGCCCCCTGCCACACCTTCCAGAACCCTCTGCAGATAACGGATCCAAGAAGAGCCACTTCTTTCTACTGTGAGTGTCAAGAAAGAAGCAGGTGTGTCTTCCCCACAGAAATGCGATGGGGACAAGTGAGGCGGAGCGCAGGTCCCGGCAGAGGAAGAGCAAGCACTCAGGAAAATGACGCTGGAGCAATGGAAACTGGGATCAAGCATTATTTTGTGAATTACAAATGAAAACTTCGTAGAGGTGCCCAGGGAAATCAGCAGTAGGGGTGCAGGCTGTCAGGGAAGAGACGGAGGGAATGGCCGAGGCAGGAAGGGGGACGTGGAACCGCACACCTCAGGGACGATGAAGGGAGAGAGCACGCGCACTGGTGCGGAACTGGAAGAACAGAGAGCAGGGGTGGGGAGCACCCCTCTGCTGGCTGCACCGTATCCGGGTGCCAGGTATTCTTCTAGATGCTAAAAAAACACAGAAGAAAAACAAACAACAGCACAAAAACAAGCTTGGCCTTTATGGAGCGGACATCCCAATGCAGGGAGATTGAAAAGAAACAAGATAAACAAGTAGAACATGTAGTATGTTTGATGGTGATAGATGCTGTAGAGAAAAAGAAAGCAGGGGCGTGGCGTGGAGTGGGGAGTCAGAGAGGGCTCCAGCCTGGCAGGATGTGAAGGAGCATGCCAGGTAGAACTCTCCAGAAGGCGGGTCCAGGCAGAAGGCTTGTTGAAGGTTCTGAGGCAGGACTGTCCCGCCAGGAATAAGAAGCGGGCAGCGTGGCTGGAGCAGAGACAGGAAAGAGTGCAGACAACAGGAAGGATGAATGCGCTCCCGTACCTCCTGATCCGCCCCAGCTGTACTTTTGTAGAGAACATAATACACGATTGAGGTTTTTAACACTGCTGTCCGGAGAAATTTTCTCCTGATTCTGCACTATGAAATTTTTAAATTACGGTGCTTTATGTGTGTTTTTCTTTTTATATTTATTTATAAGGATTTTAATAACAACTTGGAAGAGGACATAGCAGACTAGCGCTATCGCTGGTAATTAGGGTGTGAGCAGTCTGCTGTATCAGATGCCAGTCATAGGGAACATAAGCAAGATACGCTGTGAAGGGTTAGCAAGCCTCTCTTCTTCACTGGGAAACGGACCGTGGCTGAACTTACTGGCTTCTTGCCCTGGAGCCTGACGGAGGTGGACTGTCAGTTGTGTGATCAGGTGGCATCACTTGTGTAGCTCGCCCGATCGGTGTGCTGCAGCTTGACTGGGAGAACAACTGGTGGGAAACCACTGGCTTTCCTGGGTTTGGTCTCTTTTAAGTGGGCACGTCCCCTGCAGGGACCTACAAGGTATGCCCAAGGTATGATGGGTCCTGTCTGAACACAGGACTAGTGCACCTACTTGTGGGGTCTCTTTCTCTACGTCTGGGTTATCTTTCTGGTGAGGTCAAAGGGCACTGGCCCCTGGTCAGCTGTGTTTAGGGTGCCTCCTGCTGCCCTGCTGGCACTCCGGGATTTCTTCAGATTATGTGCAGATACAACTTGGATAAAAATAAAACTGAAAGTTTTTAAGAGTAAACTGGGTCAAGTATGGCCTGTTCAATTCTGTGTGTGTGTGTGTGTGTGTGTGTGTGTGTGTGTGGTACGTGCCCCTAGCAGGAACCGAACCCAGGACTCCCTGGTCCGCAGGAAGTATGGCCTGTTCAATCCTTAAGAGTCTGTGTCCCTAGTTGAGAAGGCCCACTGGTGTGGTCATCACAGCAAGACAGACATATATTTCTCTTTCTTGGTATAGGCTGAAGGGGAGCAGTCCTGAGCTGGACAGGCAGCTCTGCCATGCTCAGCGTGAAGCCCACACCTGGGGGTCCAGGTGGCCGCTTCCGTTCTCACCCTTTCTGGCCAGGGAAGGAAGAAAGGGCCGAGGGGGCACGGGCCACTTCTGCTCACACCGCCTGCCAGGGAAGCAGCGGAGGCACTCGAGCTGGCAGCCGGGTGCTCATGCCCAGGAGAACGGCAGCCATTGGCGGCTGGCTGTCTCTGCCTTCATCACCATCTTAAACCCATCCTGGCTTTCTAAAAAAGGTCCAACTATTATCCCTTTGAAACTAAACAGAACCTGAGTTTGAATAATTAAGCAGACAAATTCCTGTTTTGCTTTGGGCACTTTGTACCCCTTTGTTGTAGTAGTATATCCAGTTATTGCTACCCCTCGCCATGTCTTACGTGCACATTTCTTAGAATTTGTGTATATTCTGTCTTGCTGCCTGTTGGTTTGTTTTCTTAAAATATGATCAACCAAAAGAAATTCCTTAAATAATTTAGGGGTACATACGTGGTAGCATTAGCATAAGTATAGCAATAGAGCTACAGGCCTGAGAGGAGCTTTGCAAAGCCATTGCATCTCATCTCAGTTTGTAGACTGCCGGAGAGTCAGTGAGGCAGCCAGAGGTATAGTAAAAACATCTGGTATGAGGTGCTGTGCGCCTCAGGGTAGGCGAACACCAAGAGAGAACTCTCTCCCTAAAACAATTTATATTCTACACTCTAGAGTGTGATGTCAGTTCTCCAAAATCATGCCTCACAATCAACTTTCCTTTCTTTAAAGCAAATATATGTTGAGGAAGTGAAAAGTATCAGAATAAAGGAAGATGAACTAACCCAGTGCCTTCCCCAGCTTCAGGGGGCAGAAGACGAATATACTAGCAAAAACAAAGAGTTTGAAGAACTCAATAGTACTCTCACAGGTACATATGAATCACTTAGTAATTGGTCTCAAGCCCAGGTAAGGATTTCATTGTTGTCTTCTAACACAAGGCAGGTCACCCATCAAAGCAAGGGTGAAACTCCTTCGACTTCCGCGTCACCTTTAACTCTCTATTCTCTAAGGCCATGTTTTTTTTGTTTTGTTTTGTTTCTTATCTATGAATTTTCTCTCCTCTACATCACAAAATTGTACTGTTGCTATTGTCAGATTTTTCCTTTTCTCTTTTAAAGACTGTGTAAGAATTAGCAGCAACTATATTATGTGGTTTATCTCTGTACTTGGTAAAAGTAGAATCAACTTCTTTATCTACTAACATGTGGAGATATTTATCTGTTTCTTAACATGAATTTGAAAATTATATTGTTTCCAGCTATAACCATATATTAAGTAGGTACCCCTTAAATGTTTCTCACTACCCTTCCCCTGAGGCGGAGATAGATAAGAGCTCATCTCAGATCTGCGAGCTTTGTGGAGAATGTGAAATGTATCTGAAAGTACGCATACGTTGATTCTGTTACATGGCATAACCGTGTGTATTTAATATAAAAATCATTATTTTCTCCACCAAAATTGGATGGGCTCATCTAACCCTGCACCCCAAAGTTCACCGCTCCAGAGTCCTCCTGGAGGTGTGAGTCTTACCTTGCACTGGGGAGTAGAGGATCCTTAGTCCAAAAGTCCCCGTGGGTTGTTAAGCAGGACAACTTTCAGAATTTCTGTCTTCTGGATGAAGGACGAAGTGCCATGGGATCGAAGGCCAGGTCCAAAGTTCCAGAAGGACTGGAATGGGAACAAAAAGTGTGTACAAGGGTGGGCATGACCTGCTGACAAAGACGAATATGGGGAAAGGAACTAAGACAGTTTGTGTCAAAACGGGACCATCGAACGGAAACCCAGTGTGTTCAAATGTGAAATAAACAATTATTTAAAGTGAATAGTGGTTATTGCCAAGAAGGTGGGTTTTTAAGAATATAAGAATACTATAAGAATAAATACCTGGGTGACTGGTCTGGTTCCCATTCCTCAGCCAATTTTCCACTTCTTGTCAGCTTTTCATTTAGTCAACTCAGGTGACATTTCTTGGTATTTTTCCACCTTTACCAAGACTCATGACACACGTGTACTCCAGTCCTAATTTTCTGCTTTCCAAAATTTCCTCTGACCCCTTCTTGCACTAGGTAGATGTAAGAAACATCTTAAGTATGGAAGTAAGCAGTATATTTTAAGTACTGATCCTCTTAAGGTAAAGAAAAGAGGAAAAATACAGGGGAAAGTAGCAAAAAGAAGGGAAGGCAGGAGAAAGGAAGGAGGGGACATGCGAGCACCGTGCTTCAGAGAGTAGGAAGCATACTTGTCCTGCCAGCATGTCAGGGGCTCTTAGCACGTCAGGGCTGAGGACACATACAGAACCACGCTGTGACTTTTGGTTAAATATGATGGATAAAACACATGCACCTGTTTTTGCTCCCTAATGAAACCTCACAAAAATGTGAGTAAAAAATTTTTTGTATTGTTGACACTTTAGAGATGTCCCCCCCTTTGCCCACCTCCCCCCAGCCCCCACTTCCCCTCCCCTGGCCTTCAGCACTCTGTTGTCTGTGTCCGTGGGCTGTGCATGTATGTTCTTTGCCTACTCTCTTCACCTTCTTTTATCCAGTCCTCCCACAGTAAAATATATTTAAAAAGAAAAAGATATAAACCCACAAGTACAAAGAGACTGGCAGAGAAGACATCAGCAAGTAATAAATACCAGCACATTTTTGGAAGGAGTAAGTGCACGGAGGGATTAGCAGAAAGAGAAATGTGAATAGCAAGTGTCTGCAGAGAAGCACACCGTGAAGGCGGGACATCCTCTCCACACTCCAGGGGAGTCTTGGCCACTGGGGGCCCTGATTCTGTGAAGGCTGAGATGAGTCACGGGGCCAAAGATTGGTTGCGAGTCCTTCTAACGAGCAGTTAGACCTCCAGGTCTGCTGTGCAGCCGGAGAAGTGGGACCAGAGGGCTCTGAACAGCGGGGTAATCAGACATGGCCGAGGGCAGAAGACAGGTCTGTCCACTCCAGCTTGCTGAGTCTTCCCGAATCCCTTCCCCCGTGAAGAAAGAGATGGTTGGATTCTTCTCTAAGGAAACTGAAGTTTCAGAGAAAAGCCCCACAGACTCTAACATCTGAAGGTTCCCCGACACAAATGTCTGGTCCCTTCCCGGTCACTGTGTGGTGAAGCCCAGCCAGGAGCCAGGCCTTTCAGTGCTTCATCTTAGATAGGCTGAGACAGACATTCCGACGTGGAAAACTGACAAATTAATTTCCAGCCTTAAATACCCTTCCAAATTATCAGGCAAGTGAGAATATACAATAGAGACATATTTAGATACACAAGATCTCAAAATATCTTATTTACTCTGTCTCAGGAAGCTAGTACAAAATGTGCTTCAACAAATGGAACAGAAAGAGGCTGTGAGATCCAGGAGCCGGAGGTCCCGCGAGCGCCCTGCAGAGGGAGCTGCTGTGCCGGGGGGCAGGGGCACCGACAGGCTTCCTAGGGGGTTTGACCACGTGGGAAGTCATACTCAGAGAGATCTTACAATTCTGTTGTAGATTTTTATATGAACTATGCTATATACATGGAAAACTAAGAAAATAATAAAGTGAGGCGATTTTTACCTCAAGAAAACAAAATATACAAGAAAGGAAATACAACCTACACCATTTGCCTCATGAGTGATGCCATTTGTCACATAGTGATCTAAACATTTACAGTCCAATTACACAGAAAACATACTTTATGGGGAGGTTGGAGGGAGCAAACGTGGAGATTGTGGATGGGGGAGGGGTGTGGAGGGGTGACCATGCTGTGTCCTCCTCTACCAGAATAGGAAGAAAGTAGAAAGTGTCTTAAAAGACAACTCAAGAAAGAGCCATATAAGCACTTTTAAAAGAAAATAGCTGGAGAGAAGTTAAAATGAGTTAACAATGGTTGATTCTTAGGAGTCAGACACAGGGACGGAGGCAGCACTGGGGACCCCTGATGGCTGGTTTTGTAATCGGCCATAGTTTTTGACTTTGAAGCCAGGTTCATGTTTATTTTGTTTAATGCTGTTTTTTTAAGCCAAAGAACATTATGGATAGTTATTTTATCTCCCTTTTTTACAGCACAGAAGCTGGAACAGAATTTACTGAACGATCATATTTCTCAAATGACAAGAGACTTTTCAAGATATATGAAGAACATGGTAAAGAGTCAATGCACTCATTCTCTGCTCTTGTCTTAGAACCGATGTACATGCACAGAACTCACCTGGCACCTCTGGAGTGTTCGAGAAGTCCGCACTGACGACACTTACCCTCTTAATGCTCATGTTTGAAAATGTAGTCACAGCATGCACACGTATATGCATATACACACACACACACACACATTTATATATGTGTGTGTGTGTCTATATGTATATAAACAGAGACAGGGACTCTAGAAGCAACTAACATGTAAAATCGTAGGGCAGCCTCAGTTTCCTTATTTATAAGGTAGAGATTGGATTATGCTTTCTAAGGTTCTTTTCAGGTCTGTTACTCTGGCAAATTCCCATGAAGACAAGGACTGGTCAGGGTAGGGAGGGAGTAGATGAAATGTGAGCTGGTAAAGAGATGTTTTACTACCTTTTTTAAATTTATAATCAATAGTTAATGATAAACATGTGGAGTTGCTTAATTAAAAATGGAAAGATTGTATTTTTGAGATGTGCTGATGTAAAAAGTAACCTTTAACATGAGTGTAGAGTAATATGAAGGGGGAAATTGTAAGGAAGTATATGATATATAGAATTCTGTTTTCATTTGTTTTTTTAATCCTCACCCGAGGATATTTTTCCATTTATCTTCAGATAGAGTGTGTGTGTGTGGGGGGGGGGGGGAGGCGCGTAAGAGAGACACATTGATTGGTTGCCTCCCACATGACCCCGACCAGGGCCGGGGACCAACCACAACCAAGGTATGTGACCGGAATCGAACCCGAGATTCTTTGCTCCACAGGCCAACGCTCTATCTGCTGAGCCAAATTGTCCAGGGCTAGAATTCTGTCTTCTTAATACGATGCTGCTAGTGAGGATTATGCAACAAATAAAGATTATTTGATTATAACAGTATAATAACGATAGAGATTCAGTCGAGAAAAACTAGAAAATTCTGAAAAATCCATAAAGTAATATTCTTTTCCTTTAAGAAATATTAACTCCTCCCTGAAAATCCTCGACAGATTTCACTCTCCCCCACTTTTGCCAGATAACTGTTCATATAGAAACGTATATTCTATTTTGTGAAGTTGTCTCAACAACTTAACTTGGAGTGCATGGACCTGCTTTCCAGAGTCCATGAATAAACTTCTATGAGTCAGCTTTTGAATTTAATATAGCCTTTTATCTGTAGCCTCTGCTGACAGTTGGGGAATCCATTAGGCCTGCTCTCTGAGCGTGTCCAGGCAGCCTAAGACACCAGGGCCCTGCTGGTGAGCTCAGTGGGACAAGTGTGTTTTATGTTTGAGCAGGATGAAGTGAAGCAAGAGCTGAAACAATTACGGGATCAAGAAGTCAGAAAAGTCAGAAGTCATTTTGAAATTCTAAAGAACTTGGAAAATGAAATCTATGTACATGATCTAAAAGCAGAAGCTATTCTCGTGGAAAATAAAAAGTTAAAAGAAGTAAGTTCAAGAGCACTTCAACTTGCACAGTGGGTTTGGTTGATTGCCTAGACTGTTATAGTGATCAGAGAATAGCTATTAAACATTTTTAAATGAAGCTTAAAAGTGCCCAAATCATGTGCACAGGTTCATGAACACACCTGGGTAACCAGCACCCAGATCAAGAAACACAGCATTACTGATATCCAGGTATCCTCTGTGTCCCTTCCCATCACTGGCCTTCCCCCAAGGGCACCGCCATCCTGACTTCTAAAACTACGGACTAGCTTTGCCTGTTTTCAGACATTATTTGTATGAATGAGCAGTGTGCACTCTTCTGCTCAACACCACGCTTTCTCGGTTCATCCTTACTGTTGAGCCCAGTGAAGGTTCCTTCATTCTCAGGTCTGTGTGGTATTCCATGTGGTGATGAGACCAAAACGTATTTATATACTCTACTGTTGATGGGAGTCAGGAGAGTTTGATGTGCACTGTTACAAAGAGTGTTGCTACGGACATTCTAGTATATGTTATTTGGTGAACATGCATACATGTTTCTGTTGGGTGTACACTCAAGTGGAATCACAGAGCCATAGAGATGCATATCGTCCACATTAGCGCACTGGGCCAGCCTCCCAAAGAATAGTTGCCACTCTGGCAGTAATGTACGAGAACAGCAGCTGTTCCACAGTTCACCGAAACTTGGTCCTTTTTGTTGTTGTTGTTAATCCTCTCCGAAGGATATTTTTCCATTGCTTTTTAGAGAAAGTGGAAGGGGGATGGGGGGAGGAGAGGGAGAGAGAGAGAGAGAGAGAGAGAGAGAGAGAGAGAGAGAGAGAGAAATCAATGTGAGAGAGACACATCAACTGGTTGCCTCCTGCACGATCCCGTACCTGCAACTCAGGTATGTGCCCTTGACCGGAATCGAACCCAAGACCCTTTGGTCTGAGGGCCGATGCTCTGACCGCTGAGCTAAATTGTCCAGGGCAGCAGCGTGGTCTTTTTCTTTTTCTTTTTTTTAATTAATTAATTTATTTATTTTTGTTACATATGTTTCTCCTTTTTCCCCCACTGAATCCCCCCTCCCCGCCCCCCCCCACCCTGTCCCCAGCTTTGTTGTCCATATCCACTGTTCATGCATACATGCATATAAGTTCTGTGGTTTATCTCTGCCCCACCACCCCCTCTTCTGGGGATTGTCAGTCTGTACCCCACTTAGCGTGGTCTTTTTTAATTTCACCATTCCAGAGGGTGTGCAGTGGTGTCCCATTGTGCTTTTTATTTTCATTTTCCTGGTGATTAATGAAGCACCTATTCATATGTCGTTGGTTGCTTGTACACCCTCTTTGTGAAGTACTTGTTCTTTTGCCCATTTGAAATATGTGTCTATCTTGTATTGATTGTACCTTTTTTTCCCAGTAAGCCACAATGACCTCTAAGTCAGGAACTCTGTCAGTGTGCCCAAAGGTTTTGCACAATCCCTCACCTGCAAGATGGATTCGGTCCCATTTGATGGTCACAATAACCTTCTAATGTGGACATTATATTCTTCTCCTTTTATAGATGAGGAAACTGGGGCTCCACATTTTTCAATAGTTGGAAAAATAAAAGTCCTACAGCAATCAGACTCTAAGTAAGAAGAAAATTCCTTTACCTCTCTGGGTAATTGGCACTACTAGCTCAATGACAACAGTTTTCCCACCAATAACATGTGTTTTTTGGTAGAGCTGAAATGGCATCGCAGGTACTAAGGGACTTTGAAAAGGTAGATGTGCTCCACAGAGCCCAGGTACCATCATCAGTAGCCCCCACGCACGCAACGCATCTTCGTTCTGCGAGCCCTGGACCCAGCTCGTAAGGAATTCCTTCCACTCGTGGAAATATTCCACTGTATTGTCTTCCTGTCAAAATGGTGTATATTATTTATTAAAATAATTGAAATTTTATTGCTATTCTGGTAATGAGTGAGCAAATGAGTGACTATGTGAAAGACTGATTCTAAAAGTTCTGCTTTGGGACTCGGTGCCCAATCTACTGATCTCTGGATGACCTTGTGCTTTGACCTTATTCACTCACCACCCTGCTTGCTGATTACATCCCTTCACTCAGCACACACTCCAGCCCTCACTGAGCCCAAGCCCCGGGGGAAAGTGCAGTAAACACAGATGACCGAGACACTGCCCTGAGCCCGTTGGACGCTCGCCATCTGGCTGAGGAGACGGGCATGTAAATGGATAATTACTGTTCAGTGTGTTCACACACTGGAGGCCAGATGAGCTAGGCAAGTCAGCAAGCAGTGACCCACATTCAAAGAGAGGCAGGGATGATGTGGACATTGGCTTACTGGAATATCATCTGCCAAAAGCCGCGCGAAGACTACCCCAGGCCAAGGCTGCGGGAGACGGCCTGTGCCGTCTTCTGTGGTAGATACTCTCTCTCAGACTTTTTTTGTAAATTCTCCCCAAGGGAAATTTTTTCATTGATTTTCTTTTAGATAGAATGGGAGGGAGAGAAAGAGAGAGAGAAACACCGATGTGAGAGAGACACATCAACTGGTTGCCTCTCAACGACCCTGACTGGGGCCAGGGATCGAGATTCACGCCCTTCACTGGGAAGCGAACCCATGACTCTCTGGCCCGTGGGCTGACGCTCTAACCACTGAACAAACCCAGCCAGGATACTTTCTTAGACTTTTATCAGTAGTTTCTAGTATCTACTATTTCTCTCTTGAAACTGGACCAGTGCCAAGTTTATACCCCAAAGCCCATATTTTCAGGGTTCCCAGAGACTTTAGAGTTCTTCGTACTGAGTGGTCAGAACAGAAAGCCATGACTTTAGTGTCCAAACCACTACTATCATCGTCACCCAACCAATGAAACATTGGGTGGCGATTCTGTGGGGTCTTCTGGCTCAGCGAGCCCTCTCTCAGGTCTTGTGTGGAACTCCTCTGGACCAGCAGCCTTCCGCCTGTGACACGGCACACATTTTGCAAAAGGAACATTGTGTGTGTGTGTGTGTGTGTGTGTGTGTGTGTCTCCGTGTGTGATGCATTTAGACAGAATACCTCTTAATTTATTTTTATGTAAAATTATATTCAGATGCTGTGTTTATTTGGCTGTTGAAATGCTTGCTAAAAAGTAGACCCTTTCTGTCCCTCACTAGAACATTAAGCTTGACAAGGGCTCTGTTCACCACTGTTTCCCTTGCACCTGGAGCAGTTGGTGGCACAGAGGAGGCATCAATAACTGTTTGCTGAATGACTGCACAGGTAACTGAGCTACAGTAGCTAAGCTGTTTAAAGCAATGACATGCCTCTACTTTCCAGTATATTGCATACATAAAGAACAAGACAGAGGAATTCGTACAGGAAGAAGAAGCCATCAGGCACATCACAAGTGGCCTGGCTTGGCACGTGATAGCTAATTACAGTAAGTAATGTGTCATGGGTGATCTTTACATATACAATCGTTTTTGTTTAAATCAAATTTTACTGTTTTGCATACAGTAAATGCGCTCATCCTAAGTTCCATGAATTTTGATAAACGTGCATTCTACTGTAACCACTACCACCATACACAAGCCGTAGAACATTTTCATCCCTGAAAAATTTCCCTTGTGTCCCTTTGTAGTATTATCCACCCTACCTCCAGTTCTTGGAAACCATTGATCTGCTTTTTGTCACTAATGACTGGATATAAATGAAATGATAGAATATGTGCACTTTTGTATCTGGCTTCTTTCACTCAGCAAACTGTTTTTTCAGATCCATCCATGTTGTTAGACATGTCATTGGCTTCTTTTTGTAGCTGTATAGTATTCTACTACATGGATATGCCATATTTTTTATTTATCCATTCACCAGCTGAAGGACATTTGAATTATTTCCAGTTTAGGGTTACTATTTATTTATAAGTGTTATTTTCTTTTACTATTATCATTATCATTCTTATTTCTTTTTGTTGTTGTTAATCCTCACCCGAGGATATTTTTCCATTGATTTTTTAGGTAGAGTGGAAGGGAGGAAGGGAAAGGAGAGAAACATCAATGTGAGAGGGTCACATTGATTGGTTGCCTCCCACGTGACCCTAACTGGGGCCAGGGATTGAACCTGAAACCCAGGTACGTGCCCTTGACCGAGAATTGAACCCAAAACCTTCAGTCTTTGGGCCAACACTCTAACCACTGAGAAAAACTGGCCTGAGGATTTTTTTTATGGATTTTTTGAGAGAGAGAGAAGGATCGATGTGAGAGAGAAACATCGATCAGTTGCCTCCTGTATATGCCCTGACCAGGGATCAAACCTGCAACCTAGGTATGTGCCCTGACTGGGAATTAAATCTGCAACCTCATGGTGTATGGGACAATGCTCCAACCAACTGGGCCACCTAGCCAGGGCTATTTACAAGTGTTTTCGCTAAACTTGTTTTCATTTCTTTCGGATAAATACCAAGGAGTGGAATTGCTGCCTTATATGGTTAGTGTATGTTTAACTTTATAAGAAATTGTCAAGCAGTTTGCAAAGTGGTTCTACAAATTTATCATCCTACTAGCTGCAGGATACTCCACATTCTTCCTGACACTTTACACTTAAAATTGTTAACATTTTAGCCATTTTGCCCTGGCTGGTTTGGCTTGGCAGTTAGAGCGTCAGCCCGCAGACCAGAGAGCTGCAGGTTCAATTCCAGTCAAGGGCACGTACCTCGGTTGCAGTTCCGTCCCCGGCCCTGGTCAGGGTCATACGGGAGGCAACCAGTTGATGTGTCCCTCTCACATCCATGTTTCTCTCTCTCCTTCCTTCCCTCCCTCCCTCCCACTCTATCTGAAAGATAAATGGAAAAAGATATCCTCGGTTGAGGATTAAAAACAAACATTTTAGCTATGTAATGGTATTTCATTGTGGTTTTAATTTGTATCTTCCTGATGCCTAATGTCAAGTATCTTTTCATGTGCTTTGTGGCCACATGTATATCATCTTTTGTGAATCATCTTGAACCAATGATCTGCTGCAGCATAACAGATATTACCAATCATTTACTTTGCTCACCGACGGCTAATTTGGCCAGAGCTTGTGGAGACAGCTCCGGCCTGCTCCACGTGACACCAGCGGGGCAGCCTGTGTACAGCGGGAGGGCACGTGCAGTCTAGTTCTGTCACTTTGGAAACAGACATTTTTACATAAAACAGTTTCTACATAAAACAACTAGCATTGCTATTATTAAAATGTTCAAATTGTTTCAGTAACTTTTACATTTTGAAAATCTGTATTTTAGCACAATATATGGATTTGTGGGCAGAATTTCAGATCACTATAAAGGTGAGTTTTTTGTGTTACCTCCGTAAGTATCATATTTCTAAGAGTATTTATGTACCTAACAAGTGTATGCATGTGTGTGGGCGCGGGCACACCCATCAAGTAGGAGGTCAGGATTACTGCAGAGTCACAGAACTAGTGTGACCACCACATCCTACAATGTGTCCTTTATGCCAAATGTCACTGTACAGTCTTAATCCTTTGGGAAACTGTCTTCCACTCTACCACTTCAGTAAAAGCGGGAACGTCATTTTTTTTCTTTGTCACAAGCTCAAATTGAACACGTTGTTTCAGGACAAAGTAGTTCTGATCTCCATCTGCCCTCCATGTTTTACCAGCCATGCAGTGTCCCGCCCCTCCCCCTTCCCAGGCTGGTCGGTGGAGTTTAAACCGCAGCCCTGCCACTTCCTAAGTATGTAACGTTTAACACGATCCTTGTTTAACCCCGAAACACTGGATAAGGAAAGTGTTAGCAGTGACTTTTTCAGGTGAAGCTGCTGAGACTCAGTTTAAGAACTTGCCCAAGACCAAACAGTTTATGAGCTTATGGGGATTTAAAACTCAGATCCAGCCTGATTCCAAAGTCCTTTCCCTTAAACTTGAAGCCGCGCGGAGTTTCCTCTGCAATTCTGTGCTGTCTGAGGGTGAGCTGGCCTCTCATGCCGCCGCCACCATCCTGTCCAGTTAAAAACGTGAACTCACTCATGGCTGGGGTGGTACGGAAGGGGGAGTCAAATGGGTAGAGGGTCAAACAGTACAAACTTCATTATAAAATAAGTCATGGGGATGTAGAACATGGTGACTATAGTTAATAATACTGTATTGTGTGTATTTGAAAGTTATTAAGAGGGTAGATCTTAAAAGTTCTCATCACAAGAAAAAAAATCCTGTAACTGTGTGGTGATGCTGTTAACTAGATTTATTGTGATAATCACTTCACAGTATATACAAATACCAAGTTATTATTTTGTTGTGCACCTGAACCCAATGTTAATATGCCACTTATGGCTCAATAAAAAAACTTAACAATTGAAAAATTTTTGAGTTCAGTGATCAGTTCATTAAATCTCATTTACTAATCCATGATTCTGAGATCTTTTATAGAACTGTGTGAATTTGTTGTGTATACACACTTATTTTCCATGACTAATACCGATTTTCCATATGTACTTTGGGATAGGATTCATTGGACAGGAAATGTTTTTATTGCAATTTATACTCACACATCTAAAAGTGCTACTTTTATCTTTTTTAGGAATTTGTACGTGATAGTGAAGCGACCTTGCAAGAAATAAAAACCCTGATAGACAAGCTGCATGAAAGAGACGAAAGAATCAAGAGTATCAGTGTCTGGCTACAAGGGAACCTTGAGGAGCTGCGTTATCTGTCCACTATTGACCTTCCTGGTGAGTAGCACCTCAGGAGCGTCGGGTATCAGAGAACTTCCTGCTCTTCTACTGTGGCTGGTGACATAAAAAAAAGCCTCCCTCCTCAATAAGAGTGCCCACTAAAAAACTTAGTGATCCCCAACAACCCATCCCTAATCGCGTCGCGCACAGTGAACAGTGGTCTCACTCCGGGGTCGGCCGTGGCCGTGCAGCGGCGCCCCCACAGGTCCCCTTCTACTGAGTTTTCTCAATGACAATCTCAACTTCTTTCTGATGTTTTAAACTCGTAAGTACTTTCCAGTGCAATCTGTTTAAACTTTTTCACACATTTCCTTGTCTTCATAAACAGAAGATATCGAACATCAGTTTACCTTTTCTTCCTGGGATGAATTTAGTATTAAAAATAGCAACTGTTGCCTTCTCTGACAATCCTAGTGATCCTTCTGGGGCCTCGGGGATGTGAGTACATCGTGTATAACAGGCTGATTGCTTCAGGGGCAAGCAGCTGGGTCTCTCGGAGGCCTATCCACTTCCTCCTTGGTTCTTATCCTCCTGTCCTAGTAGAGCCCTGTCCAGGTGAGAGCCGCGGTGAGAAATGGAGGTGAGCCCCGCACAGGCAGGCACAGCCCAGAGTCCCAGGGTGAAGTCCCTTGACCAGGTGGGATGGTGGAGGTGGAGAAGGCTGGGGACAAGGCAGAAGGATAGGGTGCAGGGGAGAGAGCGAGTGGTGAAATGAAAAAAAAAAAAAAAAAAAAAAAGTCATTCAGCAAGTGTAAGGTTGATTAGAGGTTATTAAGGTTTAATTTTAAAGGGTATCATCATTAGATAAGTCATTATAAAGTTGGCTTGTGGAAAGTAAAATGAGAAAAAAACCGAAAAATGGCGGTGGAGTGAACGGAGCTACACAGACCGTCTCCCAGAACCAAACTGGAATTACAACTATAACACAGACAAATCGACGGGAAAAACCAACAGAAAAGCAGCTTGCGAGGACCATACAACGAGGGACACCGACTCGATCCCGGTAGGCTTGCGAAGGCGCGAGACGGGGCTGGGAGCCCAGGGTCGGCAGCTCGGCAGCGGCCTCAGCTGGGAGCGGCGCCCTCGGGTCACACTCCCAGGTGGCTCCACAGCGCAGCCGGGACAGAGGCTGAAACAGCCACAGCCACTCACCTTGGGCTCCGGCAGAGGGAGGGCGGACTGGACTGGAACTGTGTCGGGACACTCGGGGTTTGGAGGGCGCTCAGAGCTTTGGCTGAGTGCAGCCACTCAGGACGGTGGCCACATTGCTCCTTCCCAGGGCTCTGAGGAGAGGCAGCAGCCCCTCCCTCGGAGATCCAACCCCACCCTGTGGGCCATTGAAGTGCTAATTGAGGCTCACTAACGACCAGCATCTGCCCCACCCTCGTGAAAGCCCCTTGGCTGAGCACCAGAGGGAGTTTTTCAATCAACTGACAACCCAAAACGCATCAAGTAACCTAGACTGCTAGCCTCCAGGCAAAAAGCTAGAGGATAACAGTACATTTCCTGGGCTGGCAACTTTAACCAGGAAAGTAAGACTTGACAGTGGTGTTCAACGTGGGTCCACCCTCGCTCATCTAAACACAGGAGAGGGAGCCACAAACAGCAGAACACCAACACCCACAGGGAGATCTTGACAGGCTCCAAAGCCCACAGTGATAGCCAAAATGGTGAAACACAGAAACAGAAGCCAAATGAAAGAGCAAGAGACCTCCACCGAAGATGAGATCAATGTGGAGCAATTAGGCATGTTAACAGAGCTAGAATTCAGAGCCATGATCTTGAGGAAGCTGAACAGCATGAGTAAGGACATAGAGACACTGAAAATAAGCCAATTGGAAATTAAAAACCAACAAGAAGAGATAAAAAATGACATATCAGAAATGAAAAACACATTGGAAGGTTTAAAAAGCAGAGTAGGGGAAGCTGAGGACCGGATCAGTGAATTAGAAGACAGGGTAGAAAAAATCAACCAATCAGAAAAACAAAAGGAAAAAACTATTAAAAAACAGGAAGACAGCTTAAGAGAACTATGGGACAACTGGAAACGTAATAATATTCGCATCATAGGAGTCCCCAAAGAAGAAGAAAATGAGCAAGGGATAGAGAATATATTCAAAAAAATAGTGAGAGAAAACTTCCCTAATTTGGTGAAGGAAGAAGGCATTCAAGTTCAAGAAGCACAGAGAGTCTCAAGTAAGAAGAACCCAAACAGGCCCACACCAAGACACATAGTAATTAAAATGCCACAAATTAAAGACAAAGAGAGAATCCTAAAAGCAGCAAGAGATAAGCAACAGGTTACCTACAAAGGGAACCCCATAAGGCTCTCAGCTGACTTCTCACAAGAAACACTACAGGCCAGAAGAGAATGGCATGAAGTAATCAAAGTCATGAAAAACAAGAATCTGAATCCAAGACTACTCTACCCAGCAAGGCTATCATTCAAAATAGAAGGTCAAATAAAGAGCTTCCCAGACAAAAAAAGGCTAAGGGAATACATTAGCACCAAACCAGCACTGCAAGAAATGTTAAAAGGACTGCTGTAATTAGCAGTAGAAATGGGAAGAAAAATAGAACCACACTAAACAAAAATGGCAATAAATAAGTACATATCAATAATCACCTTAAATGTAAATGGATTGAATGCTCCCATAAAGAGACACAGAGTAGCTGATTGGATAAGAAAGCATGACTCATCTATATGTTGTTTACAAGAGACCCACCTCTCAACAAAAGACTCACATAGGTTGAAAGTGAAAGGATAGAAAAAAATTTTCCAAGCAAATGGAAAGCAAAAAAAAGCTGGGGTAGCAATTCTCATATCTGATAAAATAGATTTCAAAATGAAGACCATAACTAGAGACAAAGACGGCCACTACATAATATTGAAAGGATCTATCCAACAGGAAGATATAACCTTGATAAACATATATGCACCCAATATAGGAGCACCAAAATATATTAAAAATCTCCTGGAGGACTTCCAAGGAGAAATCAACAACAATACAATCATAGCAGGGGACTTCAACACCCCGTTGACATCACTGGATAGATCCTCTAGGCAAAAAATTAGCAAGGAAACAGAGACTCTAAATGAAGCACTAGACCAAATGGATTTAATAGATATCTACAGAGAATTACACCCCAAAACTACAGAATACACATTCTTCTCAAGTGCACATGGGACATTCTCAAAGATAGACCACATGATAGGACACAAATTAAATCTCTACAAGTTCAAGAAGATTGAAATCATATCAAGCATCTTCTCAGATCACAATGGCATGAAACTAGAAATCAATTGCAACAAGAACATGCAAAGACATTTCAACACATGGAGGTTAAATAGCATGTTATTAAACAATGAATGGGTCACCGACGAGATCAAGGAAGAAATTAAAAACTTCCTGGAAACCAATGAAAATGAACACACAACAACACAAAATCTATGGGATGCAACGAAAGCAGTTCTGAGAGGGAAGTTCATAGCACTACAGGCCTACCTCAAAAAACAAGAAAAATTTCTAATTGACTGTCTAACCTCACAACTTAAAGAATTAGAAAGCAAACAAAAAGAAAACCCCAGAGCAAGTAGAAGGAAGGAAATAGTAAAGATCAGAGCAGAAATAAATGACATAGAGACCAAAAAAACAATTCAAAGGATCAATGAAACAAAGAGCTGGTTTTTCGAAAAGATAAACAAGATTGATGGACCCTTAGCTAGACTCACCAAGAAACAAAGAGAGAGAACCCAAATACACAAAATCAGAAATGAAAGAGGAGAAGTAACAACCAACACCACGGAAATACAAAAGATCGTTAACAACTACTATGAACAACTATATGGCAACAAATTCGAAAATCTAAGCGAAATGGACAAATTTCTAGAAACACACAGTCTCCCAAAACTATTTCCGGAAGAGATAGAAAACTTGAACAGACCAATAACAACCAAGGAAATTGAAGATGTAATCAAGACTCTCCCAGCAAACAAAAGCCCAGGCCCAGATGGTTTCACGGGGGAGTTTTACCGAACATTCAAAAAAGAACTAACACCCATTCTCCTCAAACTATTTCAAAAAATTCAAGAAGAAGGAAGACTTCCAAACACGTTCTATGAGGCCAGCATAATCCTAATTCCAAAACCAGAAAAAGACACTACAAGAAAGAAAACTACAGGCCAATATCCCTGATGAACATAGACGCCAAAATCCTGAACAAAATATTAGCAAATCGGATCCAGAAGTACGTCAAAAAGATCATTCACCATGACCAAGTGGGATTCATTCCAGGGATGCAAGGCTGGTACAATATTCGCAAATCAATAAACGTGATACACCACATCAACAAAATGAAGAATAAAAACCACATGATCATATCAATAGATGCTGAAAAAGCATTCGACAAAATCCAGCATCCATTTCTGATAAAAACGCTCAGCAATGTAGGAATAGAGGGATCATATCTCGACATAATAAAGGCCATATATGAAAGACCTACAGCCAACATCATACTCAATGGACAGAAACTAAAAAAATTTCCATTAAGAACAGGAACAAGACAGGGATGTCCACTTTCGCCACTCTTATTTAACATTGTACTGGAAGTCTTAGCCACAGCAATCAGACATGAAGAAAAAATAAAAGGGATCCAAATTGGAAAGGAGGAAGTGAAACTGTCATTATTTGCAGATGACATGATATTGTACATAGAAAACCCTAAAGACTCCATCAAAAATCTATTAGACTTAATAAATGAATTTGGCAAAGTAGCAGGATACAAAATTAACGTCAAGAAATCGACGGCATTCTTGTACATCAATGATGAACTCACAGAAAGAGAAACTGAAAAAACAATCCCATTTACCATCGCTCCAAAAAAATTACGATACCTAGGAATAAACTTAACCAAAGAAGTAAAAGACCTATTTGCAGAAAACTACAGGTCATTGAAAAAAGAAATAGAGGAAGATATAAAAAAGTGGAAGCACATACCCTGTTCA